ACAGGCTGGTCTTTCACTGTGCAGTGCAGGTTGGCCTCAAACTCAAGGCAGTGTTCCTGCCTCAGCCTCAGCCTCAGCCTCCGCCTCCTGAGTGCTGGGATTACACGTGTGTGCCACCATGCCTACACTTGTGTTTAAGTTTTTGAGGGATCATAATTTAGCTTTAATTCTGAGTGATGTCAAAAAACATTTGATAGAAGACAGAAAAAGAACTAGGGTTATTTGCCAAACTTGGTGGTGGGTATATAATAACTTATTTGTAAAAAATTTTCTTTAATGTTTTATTCTTTTAAATTTTATTTTAAAATGTTTCATTATGGGAAACATTAAGCATAAATGTAAAGTGAATACTGTACTGACCCTCATTTACCTGTCACTCAGCTTCAATAATTGTCAACTGATGAGCTGTTTTATCTCCGTTCCACTTTACTCCCTGCTTGACTTTAGCATTTTGGTGGAGGTTGTTTGTTGTGCTTTTTTTTTTTTTTTTTGCAGGGATCAAACTCATGACCTTGTGCCTGCCAGGCAGGCACTTATACTGCTGAGCTAAATCCCTGGCCCCTTTTTCTTTCTTTTTAATGCTGGGATTGCATTCAGAGCCTTACACATGCTAGACACACGTGCTGTCACTGAGCTACAGCCCCCAGTCCTTTTGGATTATCTCGACATAAACCCAGGCAACCAATATTTTAATGTTTCTACAAGATGATTTTTGGTTTTTTTTGAGACAAGGTCTCTTAGACTATGTTGCCCAGGCTGACTTCAAATTTCTGAGTGCAACATCTCTGTTCAGTCTCCCAAGTAGCTGGAACTATAATACAGATCTGTGCATGAAGCAGATTTTAAACATGTAACTCTAATACAATTATTATACTAAAAGAATTAATGATGTATCTTGATACTATCCCTTGCTAGTGTGAAGTACATACTTATTTATTCATTTTTGATTGTGTGATTTATTTACATGGTTTAGAAAAATCTACAGATTCAGAAGGTGTCTATTGAAGTTTCTCTTTCATTCTTGATCTCAGTGGCCAAGTTCCTTTGTTCAGTTTGAGAGCTGTTTGGGCTACTTCCTGTGGCAACCACTGCTGTTGGCTTTTTTTCTATTCTTCCAGGGAGATTTAATGCATACGTAAGCAAATATGTTCAGACATTGGCCTTATTTTGTCTTTAGGGTTTTTTTTCCCATTGCACCTTTATTGTTGACTGTTCAGTGTTCAGAATTTCATAGGCTTTGCAGAAGCACACAGCCTGGTAGAAGCTCCCTCCCTGACATCCCTGCTGACTGCTTGCCAGCCTCCTGTCTGTTGTCCTCATTTGTATGACATTCTGTCAGTGTCCCAGGAATCCCCAGGGATGGCTTCCAACCTGGGTGGGGAGTGCAGAGTTTACCCCAGCAACACAGTCAGCTTCATGTCCGTGGTCTGACCCCTTCCCTGCCAGCTCCTCCGTTCCATTTCCTTTCTTCCCCAGCTCATACAGGCCTACACTGGCCTGAGGAATTTGGTCAGGGTTAGAGCCCTCACTCCTCTAGGTGCCATCTGACCTCAGAAAACTTCCTGACCTCTCTGAGCCCTCCTTTCTTCTGTGATGACACAGAGGAAAGATTCCCTCTGTCAGGGCCATTATGAGGTTTTGTGGTTTGTACATAAAGTGCCTACCACATGATAAGCCCTAAATATACCTTAGCTATCCTTTTTTGGAGGGAAAGAGAAGATACCTGATGAGTCAGTATCAGAGCAGTGCTTTATAAAAGACCCTGGTCCTTTAACATAACTCAAGAAATAGCTTGCTAGAGGTGGAATTTCAGGAGGAAGGGACAGACCCAGAGGCAGAGACCTCCTCAAGAGTCATGTGAATGCAGCCCGTCAGATGGCCACTTTTATCATCCATGGGCAGGTAGAGTGTTGACCTCTGTAGCCAGGCAGGAGCTATTCAGGGAACCATGTAAGGGGAATCCTGGAGGTTAGAAAGCACAGCAGTCCTTTGTCCCCTTCCAGAGCTCTGACAAGTCACCTATCAAAAAAGGGACCCTCACAGCCAAAAGTACTAGGAGCTTTGTGTCATTCACATCCCACTGGCCTGCGAAGGGGACCCCAGGCATCTCGCTAAGGAAGGAATTCTGCACCTGGAGCTGTGCTTTCCCCCATTTTCCTATCCTTCATGGTCATTGAAATCAAAATATCGTAAATGAATGGCTATAGGAAAGACATTACAGTGTGCCAGTAACACGCTGAGTGTTCTTCCAGTGGTTGATCTGCAGATATTGCCATACCTTTCTTTCTTAACTGTCATCCTTCTGAATTTTTTTAAACTGATCTATCATGAAACCTTTGTTCATACGTAAGTCTCAGTAAAGATAGGGAGCCTCTGCGGTCATTTTATATCTCTGATAAAACAACAAAAGGCCACTCAGCAGTCTTAGAACATGTGCCAACCAAGACCATGGCTAGTATTACAGTCGAATGTCCTCCAGACCAGAGTGGGAATGCATGACACAGAGGTAAAGGATTCCAGAAGAGACAGAGGACTGTAACGCTGCATAAAAGAACTTTGGCAGTTGAGAAGAGGGGGGCAAAGCGGTTAAAACCAAAGAAGCAGTGTGGATCGGGCAAGGCCTCTCCAAATATAAACTTTGACATAAACAGCTATGTCAAACCCATGAAAAGAGAAATTAAGTTGTCTTCGTGGCATTAGATAGACAGGCATGGTAGCACACACCTGTAATCCCAGCACTTGAGAAGCTGAGGCAGGATCCCTGTGAGTTCGAGGGCAGCCTAGGCTACTTAGTGAGTTCATGGCCAACCTAAACTACATAGCAAGACCTATCTCAAAACAGCAAAAAATATGGCAGTTGGATGCCTGTCCAGAAATCACCCTGTGGTTTTCCATGAAGCCGTTCATCTGGTGAAGATGGGGCACTTGTCCTACAGACACCCAGCAGAGCTGTGCCCACCAACCAGGTCATCTCCACCACGAGCAGACATGATGAGTTTCTGGGCCCATCCCTAACCACTGGTGCCATGGGTTGCTCTTCTGAATGCCCTGTTGCCCGGCCTCCTACCCAGGCCTCTGAGTTCCCTAAGGCCTGAGTGAGTTTTGTTGGGTTCATTGCGCTTTAGTGTCTGCTGCTTGCAGCGGGGTTGGGCTTGTTCTGTAACTTTCTTTGAAGGTGGAAGGTGTGTTGAGTGAGCGGTACATGTAGGTCGAGCCTGCTGGTTCTGCCAGCGTCTGACGCTGATCTGGGGGCTCATAGGCTTCCTGCCACTTGGCCATGCCCAGCCTCCAAGGACGACCTGGGCCTGTCCCAGAGCAGTGTCTGTTCAGACAAAGATGGCAATGATTAGGTTCAGGATGGTGCCGTGGTCCCCAGCATTGCCAGGACACCTTCCTCTTTACTCTTTTTCTTGGCTTCATGTCCACCTCATTTCCCCTCGTGATGAGAAGAGCATCTGGAAGTGGACTTGGGTCACGAGCACTCAGTGGAGCCATTGCCCAGCCTGCCCAGGTGCCAGAGCCTGAGGAGGGTGAGGAGGCAGCGGCTCCCGCTGGTTTCTCCTGGGCGGCCCGGCCGCCAGCTCAAGCTCAGCTCAGTCTTGTGGGCAGGGGTTGCGCACAGCCTGGCTGTCTCCAGGTGATCCCTATCCCCAATCTCCGGGACAGAGGGAGGCAGCACAGAGAGGAGAAAAGGTGCATGAGAGCTCGGAGTTACCTCATTTTAAAGGAAATTTAGTGATGGCGCCATGACTTGAGCCCCATCTCCCTGCCACCAAAGTTTATTTTGTTTCTTACGTTGATCAGAATCCCATCTTCCTCACAGTGAATGAAATGAGGTTGGTGGAAATAATTAAATAGTTCAGTGTTGCTTTGTTTTTGGTGGTTGTGCTGGGGATGAAACTTAGGGCCTTGCACATTTTAGGCAAGCTGTACCTCAGTTTCTTCTTTCTCTCTCCTCTTTTTTTTTTTTTTTTTTTTTTTTTTTTTTTGTCTTCTTTTGAGATGGGGTTTCACTGTGCAGTTCAGGCTGGCCTTGAGCTCACTTTGTAGCCCAGGCTGGTCTCGAACTCGCAACGATCCTCCCACCTCAGTCTCCCAAGTGCTGGGATTACAGGCGTGAGCCACCACACCCGGCTTGTACCTCAGTTTCTTTCACCTTAAAATTTATCTCCTCTCTGCTTGTTTGTTATAGGAAAGTCAGAAACTACAGATAAGTAATTTTAAAGGAATAGTCATACTCTCTCCTGCTCAGGAATAGCCACAGTAAATATTTGAGTGTATAGCTTCGTTTTGCTTTTTTTCTTTGTATTTTTACTTTGGTGTATTAGTTTTACAGAAACAAAAGTTTAAATTTTTGAAGGAAATAAGTTTAGACTAATATTGTTTAATAATTTGGTTTTTTGTCTAACACGTAAATTTGCAACAGCACGTTTGAATCACTGGGTAACAATATGTATTATCATTCTTAGAATCTGCTGTATTCTGTCACATGAACTTTTCATATTTAATCAATCTGCTATTGATGTTGAATGCATGTATTATTTCTACCTATTTTCTGCTTTGTTTAGTCTTTCTTTAAATAAAATTTTTTTAAAAATCTGCTATTGATGAATGTTTAGTTATGTCCACCTGTGTACTATTATGAAAACCATATCAATGAATAGCTTTATTCAATGAATAGCTTTATTTTTATATAAATGACTGGATATTTTCTTTTGACAAATTCCTAGAAATAGACCTGTTGACTAAGACAAATTTAAGACATAAATATCAGTTTTTGTTCCCACCAGTAAATAAAGGGCCAGTTTCCCTGCACTGCAAAAAATAGCTTTCTTTTATTGCTATTTTACTTTGGCTTGGCATTTTGTTTTGGAAGAGCAGCTCTAACTAGCTGCTATCACAGTAAGAATCATTCCTATCACATAATTTGTTGAGGGTTTTCGAGCTCATTTTACTGGTCTCTGTGTTGAAGTTTTTCTCTCTTATTTTCTCCCTGGCAGCTGCCCTTCTCAGCATCCCCGGCTTTGTTGAACGGCTTTGCAAGCTGGCAACTCGGAAGGTGTCAGAGTCAGCGGGCACAGCCAGCTTCCTGCAGGAGCTGGAGGAGTGGTACACGTGGTTAGACAATGCTTTAGTTCTAGATGCCCTGATGCGAGTGGCAAATGAGGAGTCTGAGCACAATCAAGGTACTTGGCGGGGAGGGGCAGTCCCCTGAGTGGTGAGCTCTTTTGGGCCTCTGGAGACATTGCTAACCTCCTTTCCAAGGAGGATTAATTTGAGATGTTTCTCAAAGTAGAATTTTCCTTAGGCAGTCCTAGACTATGACTCTTAAGACTCTTGATAACGAGTTACAGAAACCTCATTGCACCTCTCCAAGTGGCTCCGATTGCAGCGAGGAGTTTGTTGCAGAACCAGCCATCTGTGTCTCTGGGACTGACCAGAACCAGGAACCAGAGCATTCAGAGGAGCCCAGAGAATTTTTTGTTTCAGTTTTCACACGTTTCTTTTGCCCTCTCTCTCACTCTGTGCTGCCTTTTTCTGGTCCCCTTGAAGGGGCTAGGCAGCCTAGTGAGTGAGTAGATGCCTCGCCTCTGCTTCAGCTTCCTGATGAAAGACTCTGGCCAGCAGGATGCAATCAGATTGTACAAGCTTAGGTGCAGCTGACTTTCATACAAGAAAGGTGGTATCTTACTGGGAAGAGTGAGCTAGCTTTTCTCATTTCTTGCAACTCTTAAGAGGCTAATTTCTTGGTGAGTATGTCTTCCTTGTTCAGCCCAGCTCTGTGCCACATGCATAGTGTAGAGGTTCTGTCTTTGCATAATACCATGGCATCAGTCACTCCTGCCCCGGGTTACTTGTAAGTTGAGAAAACTAAAGGCTACTGACCTTGCTCGGAAGTTTTGCCTAAAGGGACAGGCACTTGGTAAGAATAGAATCCAGGGAGGTTGGTACCTAAGGGTGTTCTCAAAAACACTGGAGATTTTGGTGGTAAGCGAGTAAAAAGAGGGTGGCAGATTGTCTTAAGAACAAACTAAACACTAGCCAGATGGTTCATCAAAGAACCAGGGAATGAGACAGCTAAGATGAACTCTGCTAAAGTCAGGAGAAAACCTCATCCCCAAAAACAACTCTGCTTGAATTTATGATCAGACCTTGGAACAGTGTACACCCTAGGTCATTATCAAAAGCACTGGTGCATTCAGCCAGCACCTAGTGGATCGTAACATCTCCGTGTGGTACCGGAAGAGGCAGAGAGCTTAACAGAGATTAGGGAAAGAGCTAGTCATCCTACTAACCATCATCCTGAGGAGACTGTATGTCTGAGATGCTCCATTAAAGGATTCCCCAGTCTACTGGAGAACTAGATTTACTGAAGCAGGCCAGGCCACTAAACAAATAAATAAACAACAAGCCCTAAAGAGGAGAAGGAGAACCGGTGCTCCTAGGTATCTTAACTGTCTAGTTTTTTGTTTTGTTTGTTTGTCTATTGGTTTTTGTTTTGTTTTTTTTTTTGAGATAAGGTCTTGCTAAGTAGTTCAGGCTGATCCCGAACTTGCTATGGAGCACAGACCATTGAGACTCACAGCAATTCTCCTGCCTCAGCCTCCTGAGTGCTGAGATTACAGGTGTGTGGAACCATGTCCAGCCTAAATGTCTAATTTTTAACAAAACACGAGACTCAGAGAAACAGGGTAGGCCACAGAGATTGCCTGTGAAAGGTCTTACATGTGGGGCTTAACAGAGACTTAAGAGCAGCCATTATAAATTCTGTATGGTTGCATAACAGGAAACTATGCTTTGATGATATTGTGTCATTAAATAGAAAACAACAATTAAAAAGTAAAATACTTAAAAAGCTAAAGGAAACTAGAGTTAAAAGAGTGTAATAGTGGGCCAGGGATTTAGCTCAGTGGCATAGGCGCCTGCCTGGCAAGTGCAGGTTCATAAGTTTGAGCCCTGATGCCAAACCCTCCCCCCTCCAAAAAAGTGTAATAACAAAAATTTAAAATACACTGGAAGAACTCAGCAAGTAGATTTGAACTGGCAGGAGAAAGAATAAAAGCACTTAAAGAATAGATGGATAGAAATTAAGCATTCTGAAGAACAGAAGGAATTAACAATAAAGAATAAAGCACCTTAGAGTAAAGCAGTATTAAGCACACCAAAACAGGTACAAATAGGAGATAAGAGAAGATGTACCATGTTTTACTAGAGAAACAGATACGACACAAAACATACAAATGTATGAGAATGTACAAGATTGGTATACGACAGTCACCCAGAGTCAGATGAGGAAGCGTGCAGCGGGTGCTGCACACTGCAGACCTAAGGAATTAGTCAGAGGTCTGGAGCTCACTGCAGTGTGCTGTGTGAGTCTGTATCAGGAGGCTGGTGGGGCTGTGATGGAAGGCTGAAGAGTCTTACGTCGGAAAGCTGAAGACTACACCGGAAGGCTGAAGGATCTGAGGAGGAAGCCGAAGGGTCTGGGCTGGAAGCCAGGAGGTGACGTCCAAGCTAAAGGCAAAGACTAGAGCTCATCCGAAGAACAGAATCAAGTCCATCCTTCTTCATTTCCCCTTTATGCTATCCACAAGACGAGCCGCCCTAGGGTGTAAAATTGCTGAGCTGACTTAGTTAAGCTTCTAAAGTTCTCAAGTTGACACAGTCTAAACAACCATTATAGAAGGGGAAACTTTTTATTAAATAATGGCTGAAAACATCCTAGATTTAATGAAAAACATTAATGTATACATCTGAGAAACTCAAAGAACTCTTTAATGGCATAGTGATATCTATACCTATATACGTTATAATAAAAATGCTAAAAGACAAAAACTTGAAAGTAAAAACACAAAAATGGCATTACTGTGCCTAAAGGTATTCCAGTAAGCTTAACAGCGGACTCTTCCTGAGGCATAGTGGAGGCCAGGAGACAACAGGGTGATGTATTCAAAGCGCTGTAAGGAGACTCACCCAGTGGGGCATGATGGTGTGCACCTGCAGTGCCAGCACTCAGGAGGCTCAGGCAGTGGGATCATTGAAGATGAGGAGTTTGAGACCAGACTGAGCAACATAACAAGACCCTCAACTCAATAAAAAAATGAAGGAGAAACTGTCAGCCAAGAGTCTTACATTGTGCAAAACTATCTTTTAAAAACAAAAGTGAAGCTGAGTGTGGTGGCACATGCCTGTAATCCCAGCACTTGGGAAGCTGATGCGGGAGGATCACAAGTTTAATTCCCACCTGAGTAGTTTAGCAAGACCCTGTATCAAAATAAAAAATAGGAAAGGGCTAGAGATTCTATCAGTGGTAGAGTGCTGTTAGGTTCAATCCTTAGTACTGCAAAAGAAAAAAGAGGTGAAATAAAGATATTTCTAGGTAAAAACTGGAAGAATGTGCCACCTTCTGAGAAATAGCAAAGGAAATTCTTTGTGTTTAAAGAGACTGCTGCCAGGCATGGTGGTGCACACCTGTAATCTGAACACTTGGGAGGCTGAGGCAGGAAGATTGCTGTAAGTTCAAGGCTAGCCTGAACTATGTAGTGAGACCCTATCTCAAACAAAAAAAGATTAAGCAAGCAAGTGACCTCACACAGTAATTCAAATACACACCCAGCAGTGGCAGCAGTAAAGATAATTATATAAAAGATGGTAGCAATGTAAGTACATGTTCGTTTCTTCTTTTTGTGGTACCCGGGATTGAACTCATGATCTCATGCTTGCCAGGCAGGCACTTATGCCTCTGAGCTAAATCCCTGGCCCCTCCTTTCTTATTTAAAAGCAGTTTCATAAAACCATAATTATGTTTTTGAGTCTGTAACATACAGAAATATAATGGATGTAACATGTACAAAGAAGGTAACAGGACCAAAGTTGCATTGGAATAGGGAAATGACACCAGATGGAAACTTGGGCCCTCAGGAATCAGCAAAGAAAACCCAAGTGGTAAATCAGAGAGTTAACACTGTAAGCTCAACAAGAGATATGTACTCTTTTTCAGCTTAATGGACCAAATTATGTAAATAGTAATTATGACAGTATATTGATGAGTTTTTAATGAGTAGTCATAATATGCATAACAATTCTAGCACACAAACAAATAAACCTATGAAGGCACTCTGAAATGAATGTAAATCTGATAAAGATTTTAAGATGTGACAATCCCTAGAACAATTGCTTAAAAAAGTAAGCTTAAAACATATCATTAAAGGAATTCTGATAATGTACTAGAAAATATTCACTTAATATAATAGAAGCATTAAAGGATAGCCAAGTGTGGCTCACACCTGTAATCCCAGCACTTGGGGTATCTTGGTTACTTTTCTCTCATGGCTGAGACAAAACATCTAACACTTAAAATTAAGGAAGGAAAGGTTTACTTACCTCACTGTAGAGGTTTCAGATCATGACCAGCTGGCTGCAAGGCAGGGTAGAGGGCAGAGGGGCAGCAATTCGTGGTGGTGGCAGACACAGTAAAAGTAGTAAGAGCAAAAGGGAGGAGCGCAGAGAGAAGACTCCGCCTTGTGTGTAGGCCACTGCTAGCACTCAACCCCATAATCCCAGCACTGGACCGGGAATCAACCACAGATTCTAGAAGCCCATCCCCATGACTGTGTGAGGCTTTGGGGGGAACATCTAAGCACAAACCATAGCACTTACACTATGAAAATTTCAAAATATCTTAATTAACATGAAGACATCGCATGTCATTGAATAGGAAGATTTAATACTGTTAAGCTATCTTGAGCTATAAATAAATCTATAGATTCGTTCCTATAAAAAATTCCAGCTGGCTTTGCAGAAAGGCACTAGCTGACCCTAAAATTCATACGGAAATGCAAGCAACCCAATTTTAGTATATGTGCTGCCAAAGCAAGCATGCAGGCAACCCAGAATCGCCAAAATAATCTTGAAAAAGAAGCCAAAGTAAGAGGATTCACAGTTCCTGATTTGAAAACTTGCTGCAAACCTGCAATACTTAAGACAAGAGTGCTACTGGCATAAAGGTTAGATGTATACAAATGTATTGAATATTATAGAAAGTTTATAAATAAACCCTCACACATATGGTCAGTTGATTTCCAACAGGGCCCCAGACCATTTAATTGAGGAAATAGTAGAGCCGAGACTATTAGATATTCACGTGCAAAAATCTGGAGTTGAATGTGGTATCTCACATCATGCACAAATTAAAGGTCCAAGTGCAAGAGCTAAACTTACAAAACCCATAGAAAATGCAGGGTAAATCTCTTGGCCTTAGATTTGGCAGTGGTTTTCTAGACATCTAAAATACAGGCAGCCAAATTAATAACAGATTAGTTGAACTAAATGAAAGTGAAAGCTTTTATATTTCAAAAAACACCATAAACAAAGTGAACCCACAGAATAGAGCATTTTTGCAAACCATGTATTTAGTAAGGGACTTAGATCTAGAATGTGCAGGGAACTTCCATGATTCAAAGAAGACAATAAAAAGACAACTCCCTTCAAAACACAAAATACCAAATAGGTTTTTGTCTTAACGAGTACACAAATGGCAGATAAGCATTTGGAAAACTTTTCAGCCTCATTAGCCATCCAAGAGATGCTAATTGAAGTACCAGAGGTAACACTGTAAGGAGTTCAGGTGTGCGGCTGCCCAGCAGCGTGACTGTAATAAACAGTTTGTATCGTACATATCAAAATGTGGTTCACACCCAGCTGTCTGGCTTTAGGGTCAGAGGTTTGTTGTTTTGTTTTGTTTGCCGTACTGTGAGACCATACTTGGGGTCCTGTGTATCCATGCAGTACTCTAGCAGCACTGAGCCGCATCCCTACCCCTTTTTCATTTTATTTTGAGACAGGGTCACATTAAGTTGCCCAGGATGTCCTGGAACATGGGATTTTCCTGTCTCAGCCTGCCAAGAGGCTGGGATTATAGTTTGGAATATGGGTACATGTACCATGCCTGGCATATTTTTGAGCCACTCTGCTTCTGAGTCATGCTTCACTCAGCACCTCATCGTCCCACACAGACTTTATGTTAGTATTAGACATAAATAAGTTAAGCTCTTATTTCTATAACACCCTGCGGAAATCACATTTCCCTGAGAATACTTAATAACCACCCTCTAAACTTTGTTCTTCTGGGCTTTGTAAAAGATCTCTAAGGGCAACAGATCCAGGAGGGGCTTGAAAGGACTGTTTTACTTTATCATCACTGAGACACAATACCTGACACCCACAGTTTAAAAGAGGAGGTCTGTATTTTGGCTCACAGTTTATGGACATTTCAGTTCATAGTCAGATGGCTCCAAAGCAGGGCAGCGTGGCAGAGGAAAACCAACTCAGTGTGGTGGTAGGAAGCTGAGGGACAGGTTGGGGGGGGGGGATAGACTGTTCCAGGCCACGCCCCCAGTGACCCCCGTCCTCCAACCAGGCTCTACTTCACATTTATGAGTGAACTAATCCCTGGGCGAGTACCACACTCCCACGAGCCAGTCACCTCCCCAGAGTCCTAACTCTGAGCGTATGAAGCTTTGGGAGGACATCTGGATGTAAACCATAACAAGGACCTTAGTAGTTACTGGTTCAAAGATGAGGAAACTGAAAAGTAACTCTCTGAGGGTCACCCAGCCTCTTCCAAATCTTACCAGTGCCCCCTTAAAATAAAGCCTTAGTTGGGTGTGGTGTACACCTGTAAGGCGTTAGCTGGGTTTACACCTATAAACCTACAGCTTGGGGAGGCTGAGGCAGGGCGGTCACTATGAGTTCCAGGCCAGCCTGGGCTACATAATTCAAGGCCAGTCAGCACTAAAAGCTATAATCCTACCTCAAATAAATAAATTAATTAAATAAATGGAGCTTAATGATAGCTGAGGTATCCTAAGACAGGCTTAGCTTGTGTTTCTATTCGATCCTCACAGTAACCCAGCTGTCTGCTGTGGCACATAATAGCCTAAGCCTCTTGGGGAAGTGACTTGCCCAGAATCAAATCATAATTCCTGAGGCAACTGTCTTATTACTTTGTTCCCCTACCTTCTCAAGTGACTCCAATGTGACCTACATGACCCACAGAGAATTTTTTTTAATTGGGTATTAAATGAGATAGGTACCTAAAGCTCAACACAAAACTGTCAAGCGTATCTGCTGCCATTAGTAAAAATGAGATTAAGTAAAATAAAAGTATGCTGTAACGTTCACGTGAATCTCTATCAGTTGTGATACTCTGGTTTAGAAAGGCAAACATTATAACACTTCACATGTTTCTTTTTTTTGACAAATGGGAGAGTCTTCAAAAAGGATTCCTCTTGTCCTTCAGCAGTGTGTCCTAGGGAACCCAGACAGAACCGAGGACCCAGAGGCATTGGTGAGCTGAAGAGAGTTGCACACAATTTGCTCAGAGACGTCTGTCTGTCTAGGTTCTTTCAGAGGGTCTGATCAGTGGCAGGAGGAGTATGAGGTGAAAGTGGATTATATGTTGTGACCAGATACTGTTGTATTAAGGTGGATGAGACAGAAGAGAACCACAGCATCCATTCTTCCAGGTCTCAAGGAGTCACTGGGTAGTCCATTTAGAAATGGCTCGCCAATTAAAAGTGTTCCAGATCTTATCTCAAAGAAAGATTTGGATGAAAGAAGCCAGAAATGGTGCCAAAAGTTTTACTTGAAAAGTGAGGTGTGAAAGGGCAAAGGAAGAAGTAGCTCTGTGGAGCAAACGTGGGCCAAGAAAGAGGAAAGGATAAAAGCAAAAATAGAAGAGGCAGAGCGTTTTTTTGTTGTTGTTGTTGGTACTGGGGATTAAACTCACGACCTCACAGGCAGGCGCTTGTGCTGAGCTAAACCCCCAGCCCCAGCTTATAGAATTTTTCATCTTTAAAAATTTGTTTTCTCTCATGAGGAGCCCCAGCAGGATCTGGGGTCTTGTCTCATAGGAGCCACAGGAAGCTCCACGTAGGGAGTCCTGGGAATTACTTGGCACTGTCCTGGGATCTTGTAATTAACAGGTCCTGCTTATTTCCCCAGCCAGTTTTGTCACACCCCGTCTCCGATACCATAAGCTCACTTGGCTCCAGGTTATGGGAGGCAGTTTTGTGGCATTCATTTCTGGGATTTAGGCTCAGGCCCTGTCTAAGCTCCAGTCTACTCAGTGGGCTTGAGCGCAGACCAGCTTCTCTCATGGGCTGGGACTCATGCCTCTCTTGGGGCTGTGTCAGCCTCTACTGTGTTCCCTCCTCTAGGGAATTCAGAGGAGAATGGATTGCCTCACACTTCCGCCAGGACCCAGCTGCCCCAGTCCATGAAGATTATGCACGAAATCATGTACAAACTGGAAGTGCTGTACGTCCTCTGCGTGCTGCTGATGGGGCGACAGCGGAACCAGGTAGGTGCCTCTCCAGCCTCTGGAATTGTGGGGGGCTGGTAGCAAATGCTGCCTCCTTGTGGTGAGCTAGGTGCATCTTCATCAGCCCTTCTCAGAAGGGCGTCTTTAGCAGGCAAAGTGTGTTGGTTGCTTTCCTTCTTGTAGGAAACCAGGCCAATTTTAGAGCTTGGAGTCTTTCTACTGTAATTTGCAGTGGGCAGCATCTCTAGACAGCATTGGCGCACAGACCAGGAAGCATCTTACCTCATTAACTCGAGGACTAAAGACTGCTCTGTCCGTGCACTGAGAGAGTTGCTGATCTGAAGTGACTCGAGGTTATGGGTCCAAGCCCAGAACTGTGTCCACTTAGCAAACCTGACCAAGCAGGCGAGTTTCCAGCATACTGGGGTTTCCTGTATGTATTAAAGCAGGAGGGAGGAGCAAAGTCCCTTAACCTGTAGTGAGGGAAGCAGGACTCGGCAAATCTCTTCAAGGCTGTGAGAATGAGCCACCTTCTTACTATGTCATTGTCATTGCGTGGGGACAGAGGGACTTCAGGCTTGTGAGGCCGGGAGCGTATAGCCCCCATGCACCTTTCTGAGCCAGACACTGGACCTTGCACAACTCCAGGTGACAGATGAGGTACATGCCCAACTTCCCATAATGAATAGAGTCATTATGTACTGCAAACATGTGCTAATAAAAATAGAAAAACATTATTTTTTATTTTTTTGGTATTGGGAATCGAACTCAGGACCTTTTGCTGGCCAGGCAGGAGTTTGTGCTCCTGAGCTATATCCCAAGTCCAAAAAAACTTAAATGTGAGTGTATTTAACACTGAATTGCACACTCAAAAATGGTTAAGATGATAAATTTCATTTTATTATAAATAAAATTTTTAGGTCTAAAAAAGATAGAGTTTTAGAGAGGGTAGCCAGGAAAATGACTCAGAAAAGATACCATTTGGAATGGCAGTAGCCTGAGGAAAGTGAGGGAGCCTGGCCTGCCGAGCTCCAGGGCAGTGACCAGCTCGGGGAGCAGTACTCCTGGGAGAAAGGGAGGCTGGGGGTGGAATGGGAACAAAGTACTGAGGGGTCACAGGCCAGCTTGCATTGGGTTGTCGTAAGCTATGTAAAACCCAGCCTTACTCTCAATGAGGAGACAAGTTGGCTGCCTCTGACTTACGTGAGAGTAGAACAGCAAGGAGACGTGAGCCAGGAGACAGACACCTTCAGGACCCTTGTGATTGAACTGAGCAGTCGTACCTATGACCAAGCAGGAGGAGGGTGCTGTGGGGGAAGGGTTGCATTCAGGATTTATTTTGAAGATGGAGAAGACAGGATCTGCTGATGACTTGATGCAAACTTAAGAGAAAGGAGTTGTTAAGGTGACCCCCAAGGCTTTTGGTCTAAGTAAGTTGGGGGATGACTTTGCCATTTACTGAGATAGTTAAGGTGTAGATGAGCAGCAGAGGGACAGGTTTGGGGAGGAAGATGAGGACTTTGGCTTTGAACAAGGTAGGCAAGAGGCGGCCCTTAGAATCCGTAGTTGGAAGCTACAGTTGGAGCTGTGGTGTGGTCAGGGCTGGAGGAGCAACTTTGTGAGTCCTCAGCCTACGGTTGCCATGGAAAGCCAGGATGCTATCCTCAGTATAGTGCTCCTTCCTTCAGCCCAGGACTTGTTTGTTATTTTAAAAACATGTAGCATCTTTTGGGTGCTGAACATTTTCGCTTTTCTTACAGCACTGTCAGTTATATTTGGATTTTCAGACATTTGCTAAGTTATACAGCGTGTGATAACCCCTCTCCTGCATTGGATGCTTGAGAGAAGCAGAGACTAAAATGGGCTGTGGTGCAGTGGCCAGGCAGTGGGAGAGCCAGGATATAAGAGCCGCTGCCCCATTTCCTCTGTTCCCTCACCACACCAGTCCCTGTTTCCTGAGTCTTCCTGATGCCAAGTGCTGTGAGTTACTGTAGTCTTCAGGAAAACTACACAGAGTCCCCTGGGAAGGACTTGTGAGTGCCCTTGGAGTTCCGCCTCATCAAGAACCAGCATCTTGTCACCACATTCTTATCTGCAGTCAGCATTTACTGAGGACCTCCTCTGTGTCTGGCATCATGGAACATGGATTCCCAGATCCTGCCTAGAATGGGTAGTAAGCAAAAGGGTTTCCTTGACTGGGGTGACCTTTTGCAATGAACAGTTGGGCTATCTAAGTAGCAATCTTGGCCAAATTGAAATCTCAGGACTGAAAGCATTTCTCAAATGCCATTAAGTCCTCTGTGGTATTAATGAAGACAATGTAGCGGCAGTCATTGCACAGGCGAGGCAGTGCGGATGTGCCTGCCTGCTGGGTGAGTGTGCCTGCTACCCAAGCCATCAAATTGATGCTGAAGTTGGGAAAAACCTTGTTTTCTTTGCCCATCTCAAAAAGTGAAAGATCAGTTGAGATTTGAATTTCTCCTAACATAAGTGACATTGAGCTTTGAAAAAAATGTTTTCTATCTGTCTGTCCTTTGTCGTTTTGTTTTGTTTTGTTTTTGATGTGCATGGGGAGATTGGTCTTTTTGTCTAGAGGTTTTCAGGACTCCTTAAAGAGGGCAGTTGCCCTGCCTGTGTCATGAGTTGCTATTGTATGTTCTTCTTTTGTTGTGTTTGACTTGTGACTTTGCTTATTGTGAGTTTTGCCACGCATGATGTTGAAAGCCTTGTGTGGCTGAAATTAGCAGTCTCCTTTCTTGGCTTCCAGGTTTAATATAATCCTTTCGAAAGGCTTTTCTACTCTTAGGCCATTTAGTAAAAAGTCTTCACAAAGACTTTTCTAGGATAATTAGAGTTTCATTTTTAATATTTATCCCCCCATTGAAATTTATCCTCAGTGTAAGGTATATTTTCACCTTAATGACAAGACAAGAAAATGAATGTTAGGGATTTAGAGTCCAGAGCTTGCACATGGTAAAGCTAAGAGCAGACCCAGAACTATCCAGGTCCAAAACCCATGCTCTTGAGATGAGTCCTTTCACACAGTATGATTTGAAGGACTCTTGTAAGCAGTAATGAGCAAAGTAAAAAGATGTGTTTGTGTGCGGGCAGGGTGTGTGGGGGGGTTTTCTTTAAACCTCAGCGCTCAGTGCTCACTGTCGCTTTCTTTATCCTAAGGCTCGTTACTGTCTGCAGGGAGCAGGAGACTGCTGGGCCTTCGAAGCACATCTGTCTTGATGCTTTTCCCTTCCCACCCCATCCAGGTTCACAGAATGATTGCGGAGTTTAAGCTGATCCCTGGGCTCAATAATTTGTTTGACAAGCTGATTTGGAGAAAACATTCAGCATCTGCCCTCGTCCTCCATGGTCACAACCAAAACTGTGACTGTAGCCCGGTGAGCAAGGGACTGTGGGGACACATGAGACTCAATTGCTAGTAGCTGTTTGAAGCCCTGCTGCTGATCCTCGGACCCCTTGTCTCTGGGCATAGAGCAGAAACTGAAAGTCATACTTCATGATCCGTTAGTGGAAGCTAACTTAGGCAGGATTATGTGTCAACACCTCTGTCTTTATGGAAATACTTTCTCTTTTTTTTGGTACTGAAGATTGAACTTAGTACTTTCACACTGAACTGCATCCTAAGCCCAATTTTAGTTTTTGTTTTGAGACAGAGTAGGTTATCTAGGTTGGGCTCAAACTTGCCATCCTCCTGAAAGTATTTCTGCGGTGCACCCTTATTTTTGTCTGGCAGGCACTTTGGGGCCCGAATCTGTCCCATGGTCAGCTCTCACATTGAGTATCTTGACCCTGCCACTCTGCCACTATGAGTGTGTGTTTCCATTTGTCCTGGGAGGCTCCCTCCAACTGCCAGCTGTGCACTGGGCAGAGCCAGGCTTCTCTGACAGCTCTCTGGAACGTAGGCCAGGTCTCTGCACAGACCTGGGGTCCTGTCTGGTCATTGCAGTGCATTAGAACTGCAGCCCAGTTGTGACTAGAACCCCTCCTCCTTCACACATTGCCCTCAGGTACCTGAGTATCAGCCCTTGGGCTCTGCACCCAGACTCAGAGCTGCATTTTTGATGCCTCTAGACTCTTCCAGTTTATGAATATAGCCTCACATTTAAAAGAATTTGGGCGATTTTTATTTTTTAAATCCAGTATGCTGAATTGGGGATGTAGGTCAGTGATAGAGTTCATGCTTCGCATGCAGAAGGCCCTGGGTTGGATCCCCAGCACCACCACCCCCCCAAAAATCCAGTATGCTAGGATGTGTGAAGCAGGAAAAGTCCACATTCATTTCATTTGCCATTGTCCAGATGTGGAGGTCTGATCAGATGATTTTCTAACTGAAGAAAAGTCCTTACGTTGCATGAGGACAGAGGTTCAAAGAAGCAGAGAGATGCGCCAGGCTGTCACAAAGGCCTCAGCCTTGTCTTATTTAGAAACTCTATGACTCTGGTTTTAACATGTGTTCCAGGACATCACCTTGAAGATCCAGTTTCTGAGGCTTCTTCAGAGTTTCAGTGATCACCACGAGTAAGTACGTGTGCGTCCCTACAGGGGGAGGTGCTGTCCCCTACTTCCTTGGATTCAGCTGCTTTCTGAACCTCACAGAGGTGGAGCTGGCCAGCTGAACACATGCAGGGCTTTTCCCTTCCACAAGACATGCTCTCTCCCATGTTTCTTGAGATATTTTGCTCATGTTTTGTTTTTCAGTCTTTGATGAAGAATGTAGAGGAATGTGATTCTCTGCTGTAAGGAAAACAGTGTAAGGCAGGGGAGTAGAATCTGACCCTTGACCTTCAGAATAACAGGCTGCTGCCCTACTTGAGTAACAAGGACCCCAGGCCCACTGTTGCATGGCGTCTGATCACCTCCCCTCCCTAAAGAAAGACAGAAATTACAATTTATATGAAAGGGTCTGGTTTGGTTTCTTTTGGTTGGGTTTTGCATTACAAAGGGATCGAGTTCTGCTTTTTAAGTGTTTAAATTCTTTGGGAACACTGAATGAACAAACAGAACCTGTCTGAAAACAGATGTGGCCCAGAGGATTAAACTTGCTCTTAACCATGTATCACTGGCCCCTGTGAGGGCTTCTCTGGTAAAGGGACCATTAGTTGTAAAAGTGCAATGAGCTTTAGTTGTTTGAGAGAGTGAGTCCTTAGCTTCTGTCTGACTCTCAAATCAGCACTTCTGTCGGCCACGCTGGGGTACAGGGGTGACTGAGGGTAGCACAGCCCCTGCTGTCATAAACGGTACGGTGTGGGAAGAGGTTACCCGGAGTGTCACCAGGGCATGACTATATAGTAACAAGTGGACGTGGTATTTGGGAGGGAAAAAGCACGATTCTGTGAGAGGACAGCCGGCCAGGGTGCTCAGGGACTGTTCCTTGCGGAAGTAACTTGACAGCTGAGGCTGGAAGGGGCCTTAGTAATGAATAAGGTGGAAAGGCAGAGGGAGAGTGTTGGAGCCAGAACCCATGCAGAAGCCCCTGCAGGAGGGGGTGTGGTGCGATGTGATCGGGAAAAGCTGGGCACTCAGGCGGGGTGAGTGATGGGACTCAGCTCAGCCACAGCTCAGGTGGTTGGTGGCTGTGGGGCATGGTTCGCCTGAGACGTTAATGTTCCAGAGCAGTGGGAAGCAGAAGAGGCATGTTATTAAACAGAGTGACAGGATCCGGGTCCTGTTCTGAGGAGCACTGTGGGAGCTGTGTGAGGACCTGATGCCTGTGGGAGACTGTGTAGGAAGCGGGTGCCAGGCCTGCGAGGGGCCAGTTGTGTCACAGCTAACCAGGCCTCTGCTTGTATGATGGTGGCCACTGGAAGTGCCACAGCAGGACCAGCTGGAGGAGGGGATCCCAGGTCTAATCGGATGTGCTGAGGCAAGGTTCCTTTGAGAAATCAAGGTGAAATGTACAGCGTACAACCGAAGGGCTAGAGGTGCTGAGGTCCGGGGTTTCCTCCTGCAGAATGGCGGTGCAGAGCTAACAGGGCCTGGGAGTGACAAGCAAGGAGAATTTCCAGCTTCTCTCTCCACTTGAAGAGCATGAGGACTCCCTGCACCGGTGCAGTGTTGACCAGCAGCCCCAGTTCCAGTCCTTTAACCCCCACCCCACCCGGTTTGTTTCAGGAACAAGTACCTGCTCCTCAACAACCAGGAGCTGAATGAACTCAGTGCCATCTCCCTCAAGGCCAACATCCCCGAAGTGGAAGCCGTACTCAACACTGACAGGTGAGCAGGGTGGCAGGCAGCTGTGCCCTCAGCGCACCACCACCAGCCATTCACTCTGGGCTGTCAGAGGGGCACACGTGGGTGTGCACATTTGCCCTTTGTCCATGTATCTGTGACATCCTAGAGGGCTCTGTGTGCTGGGGCTTTTGCCTCTGCATTTTTCCTGCTGAAGCTTCAGCAGCCCTGGGAGAAAAGTGCCATCATCACCTCTCCCTCACAGGGGCAGCTCCCTCACAGAGAGCAGCTCCAAACGGTCTCGGGCTGGAGGCTGTCAGTGCTCTGCCCCTCCCCTTGTCATATGCATAGGGCATCTTGGCTGATGTGCTCCTTTTCTGTCCATTGGCAGCTGTGCCAAGCGGAGCCAATAGAAGCAGGCCCTGTTCCCCGGCAGGAGTTAAGTCTTACTATCGGTTATATCTGCTTCATCCTCTGGAGCAGGTGGTAAGGCAACAGGTTCATAGGCTCAGAACAGGAAGGACCTTACCCAGCACCCAGGGCTGTAGCTTCATAGCCACTCTTTGAAGGCAGCAGAACCTCATTCATATGAAATTGGATGCGGCCCTGCCTGATGTCTGCAAGGCATGAAAGCAGAGCTATCAGCCAGGTGTGGCGATGCGTGTCCATGGAACTCTGCATTCTAGCACTCTGGGGGCCAAAGCAGGAGGAGTGCAAGTTCTGCAGCTCAGCCTGGGCAGTTTGGTGAGATAGTGAGACCCAGTCTCAAAATAAAAATTGTTAAAAAGTTCTGGGGATGCAACTTAGTACAGAGGTCATTACAACCAAAAATAAACAAACGAACAAATTTTGTATTGGAGGGGATACTACTTTATTTAAAGAGGTATTTGATGAGGACCTAGAAGTCCCAACCTGGACATGACAGGGTGAGAGTCATTTCCCCGCCCACTGCGTCTGCTTTTATAGATCTGGAGGCACAGATGGGTACTTGCCTACCACCGGCAAGAACTGAACCTATGGGCAGGAAGAGCCGGGTACCACCCTGTTGGACTTGCCCTGTGGGGCAGACAATGTCGTGGCCTGTATCAGGCCCAGCTGTGGTGTAAGCGGCCTTCCTCCCCAGTTCTGAGCCCTGTCTGACTCGGGGTGTGCCTGAGGCCAGCGGGATGGGGTGGGGTGAGGGGGAGCTGGCCTGGGCCACAGTGGTCCACTTAGCTGCTGATTGATGACTGCAGGAGTGCCATGAACCCAGGTGAAGCAGAAAATACCCTATAGACTTAGAAATACCACCCCTTTTTTCACCCACCAAAGCCAGCAGTGATCCATCATTTTGGATCTGTCACCAATACTGTGTCTCTGTTTCAGGAGCTTGGTGTGCGATGGGAAGAGGGGCTTATTAACTCGTCTGCTGCAGGTCATGAAGAAGGAGCCAGCTGAGTCATCATTCAGGTGAGTGTGAAGATAGGTACTGCCACTTCCACGGGGCCAGGAGCCACAGGTGCACACACCTCTCGAGTAGTTAGAAAGGCCCAGCGCCCATACCTGGAGTGTGATCCCTGTTGGGTTGGGGGCTTTGCTGTTACCTGGCTCTGTGGGCCTCAGCAGGTAAGTACCGTGCTCCTTGGTGCACTAGCATGACGTGTTGAGAGGTGACCAAGTGTTCGCTGAGCACCTGTAATGTGCTGGTACTGGCATGGGCCCTGCCCATGTGGCATTCCCTGGGGTTGTGGGGATCAGAGTAAAAAGAAACCCTGTCAGTGCAGTGTGGAAAGGAGGGGAGCCAGGAGCTGCCCCAGAGCTGTAAGAATGAAGGAAGCCCTTCCCTGGCAGGGGCTGGCTGACAAAGAGGTCTGATCCATCCTCTAGACCCCTCAGCAGTGATGCTCAAAGGCTATGAGCGGGAGGAATTCCAGCAGGGCTGGGTTGAGACCGTTAGTGGGCTCTGTCCCCACATCCTGCCTTGTCCATACTCATGGATCCCCTCATGGATCCAGCTGAGCCCTGAGCCACTTGCTCAACATCAGCTGCCTCTCTTACAGGCTGGCTGAGCTCATGTGAACTCAGTGGCCAGTCCACATGTGTCTCTCTCCCCACATATGTTCTGGGTCTCCAGTCCTGTGTCGCTTAATTCTTGTTAAAGGAGAAAGCCTAGAACGTTTCCACATGGGACTTGCTGAAGCCGTTTCTTTGAGCCTAAATGCCACCTTCTCTGTGACCCCTCCCAGACTGCTCCACACTGAGTAGGACAAAATTCTCTCGCTCAGTGCTGTTTCCCCAAGGCCTAGGATGAGATCTGAATCTTGGTAGATGTTCAGTAAATGTTGAAAAATGAAAAGGCAGCAAGCATCTCTGTCCCTGGTGGGGTAGGGCAGGAAGGGCAGCCTTAGCCCTGTGGGCCAGGAGTCAATGTTTGGGTTGCAGGTTTTGGCAAGCCCGGGCTGTGGAGAGTTTCCTCCGAGGGACCACCTCCTATGCAGACCAGATGTTCCTGCTGAAGCGAGGTCTTCTGGAGGTACGGCCTGGAGGAGCCAGGGTGTCAGGTGGCCATCTTCCCCAGCCCCGCACATTGCCTTTCTGCCCCGAGCTGTACGCAGTTCATCAGGAACAGAGCAGATCTTGATTTAAATGCTGGTGCAGATCGCCTTCATGTTTGCCCTGGATTTTCACCTGTGGGTGCTCAAGGAACAGTTGAGGAACTTGGGAATGGCTGTGTGGGAGGATGAGCATCCACAGCAATGATGGCAAACCTTTTAGAGCTTCCAGTGATACAAACAGCCTGGTATGGAATGTGTGCCACGTTTCGCCACCCCTGACCTAGCATGTCCAACAAGGCCTCTGGATCCTGATGATCTTTTGGTATTGAGTAAAAGTTAATTTTCCATGTTGAATAATGAAAAAGCAAAAAGGTGGGGAGCAAAATGGCCAAGAGTTCTAATTGGTTTCAAAAATTAATATAGACAAGAAACTGACCCATTAATTGTCATAAAACTCAAAGGGAAAAAAGTTGGTGCAAATCAGTGTAATTTCAAGAAGAAAATGGAAAACTTTGGAAATAGTTTAACTGTCATAGAAAACTATCTAGAATTTAAATTGACCTTGTATTCTTGATAAAGATTCATTAAGTTCCATGTAAACTTTTAACAGTTGCATTCATAAACACAGGACCCATCAGGACAGAGAGTGTCTTGTGCCCTTCAATTCTGCCCTTCGTTCACTTGCAGGGCCCTAGTGCTTAGGAAGAGGCCAGTGTTAGAACTGGGCCTGGCAGGTGGAGAGCTCTGGCCATGTTGGTGACCGCAGAACAGCTCAGAAGCTTCAATTCAGAGTCCTAGTCAGAAGAGAAAAAGATAGGCTGCCCCTGCTAGTAAGCTGTCCCCTGAGCCTGTCCTTGGCACCACCAGCATCCTCAGAGAGGAATCTAGACCAGTTTGCAGGTTCCATCAGCCTGAATGCTAGCTCAAGGTGAATGTGTTGTCTGAGCGCCATGCCAGGTGCTGTGGGAGCCAGGCAGGAGCAGCCACCTCCACACCTCACCCTGTTCCCTCCTCACCCCAGCACATCTTGTACTGCATCGTGGACAGTGAGTGCAAGTCAAGAGATGTGCTGCAGAGCTACTTTGACCTTCTGGGAGAGCTGATGAAATTCAATGTTGATGCATTCAAGAGATTCAATAAATACATCAACACTGATGCAAAGGTAAGGCTGAGCTAGGGCCCTGTGGGATTTCAGCATTGTTCCAGAGTCACCTTGAAGCTCTCCTGGTCTGCCCGTCTGCAGGCGTGAGTTTTCAGTGTGAGTATGCTGGGATCCAGTGAGCAGTCTTCAGTGAACATTCATGAGCACCACTCTGCCAGGTCTGCTGGAGCCTGGGAGTACAGGGATGGAAATCTCAGCTCCTTCCAGGGAAGTGAGGGTGGGTGGGATGTGACATAGCTGGGTGCAGTGTGGTGGATGCCCAGAAGGAGAAGTGGGCCTGGCATGTGGGTTCCAGGAGTGTGTGACATAGACGCAGCTGAGCCTAGTTGAAGTTAAAGTTAGAGGAACACAGTACGCTCAGTGCAGAACCACTGGACAGAGTGTCAGAGGATTTTAGCAAGGCAGACTGATGATTAAGAAAAAAGAGTGAAACGCTAGGTATGCTGATACATGTCTATAATCCCAGCACTCTGGAGGCAGAGGCAGGATTACAAGCAAATTAGCCAAGACCATCCTGGGTAACTGAGTGAGAGCAAGTCACTCAGCTTGTGTGTCTGCAGAGCAGTGGGCTGGAGCACAGGATCACTGATGTCCATGAGGTGACTACTCACTCTGCGCCCTGACCAGCAGCCGGGGCCTCCCACAAGCACTGTGTCTGCTTCAGTTCCAGGTTTTCTTAAAGCAGATCAACAGCTCCCTCGTGGACTCCAACATGCTGGTGCGCTGTGTCACTCTGTCATTGGACCGATTTGAAAACCAGGTGGACATGAAAGGTACGGAAAAGCGACGATGCCAGAGCCAGTGGGTGCAGCATGCTTGTGCTGGTGTCCACACCGGCCTCCAGGCAGGAGACAGAAACAGCAGAAGTAGCTGCCCTCGCACTTGTGTGACCGGTGTCAAGATGTTGGTCTTTGGTCTTGGCCAATTCATTCAGCTACTTTTTTTTGCCTATTGTTTCAGCTTCCTTTAATGAGCGTGTATAACATTTTGATAAAGGAAAGCCATTGGTGTCAGCAAAATGCAAAAACAAATGACAGCCCCCTCTTCCCTTTTGGGCCTGGATTCTGTGTCCCTGTGCAGCAGTGTACTGGATGTGCTGGGGAGGGGGGCGGGTTGCCTAGAACTTCAACCCCACCCCAACGTTGTAGGAAGCCATTTGTTCAGGACCTCGACAGGGCACAGGCACACATGAGAGCTTTGGGGGGAAATGAGTCATGCTAGGAGCTGTAGAGGATGCGAGCTGTCTGGCATTCGTTTTTGTTTTGTGTTTCTTATTTGTTGTTTTTGGTGTTACTGGAGATTGAATCCAGGACCTTCTTAACAAAGCTACGTTTCCAGCCTTTTTTTTTTTTTTTTTTTTAAATTTGTGAGCAGTCTCACTGAGTTACCCAGGCTGGTCTTGGCTAATTTGCTTGTAATCCTGCCTCTGCCACCAGAGTGCTGGGATTATGGGCATGTGTCAGCACACCTAGCATTTCACTCTTTTTTTTCTTAATTTGTATCATCAGTCTGCCTGTCTGTGAATGAACACTTTTCAATACAGAGGAGCTGGGGTCTGATGCCAGGCTGGCTGGTGGGCTACAGAAGGGCTGCTCCCTGAGCATGGCTCCCAAGGACCAGAAGGGGCTCAGAACACAGGCTTAGTTTAGCTGAATGGTGAAACAGCTGGAGGTTGATTGTTCTGGCTCAGCAGTTCTTTCTTTAGTCATTTTGATGATGAGAATCCCTGAGGTATACAAAGTCAAGACCCAGAGCCATAGGTGGCCTGGCCACAGGGCCTCAGCCCGCTGTTACACCTCTGCCTCCCTTTGCAGTGGCCGAGGTCCTGTCTGAGTGCCGCCTGCTCGCCTACATATCCCAGGTGCCCACGCAGATGTCCTTCCTCTTCCGCCTCATCAACATCATCCATGTGCAGACACTGACCCAGGTGAGAGTTCTGCCAGTAGGCACTTGGGCAAGGTGGAAACCATTTCCCTCATCCTGGAGCCCAGTGTAGTGTCTCCTACTGTCAATGTAAGCGCATCTCTTTCAAGGGCTTTGCCAGTTTACATGGGGCAAGAAGAAGGCAGCAAGTCTCTGAAGGTCACAGACTGGGTCAGACAAAGATGGGCTGGGAATAGTGGCACACGCTTGCAGTTCCAACACTCAAGCAGGCTGAGGAGGAGAATCACTGAGTTCAGGGCCAGCCTGGGCTACAAAATGAGTCCAAGGCCAGCCTGAACTGCATAGTGAGACCCTGTCTCAAAAAGTAAAAGGGAAAAAAAAAAGAAAAATGGGCACTATGTTCTTACAACTCCCTGTCTATGTGCCAGGTTATAGAACTGGACTTGAGAATACCCCTATCTCTTTCACTGCATAGCTTGGCAGCCTTCCTTTCTCTCTACTCTCTACTTTTCTAAAATGGAGTCATACAGCCACCTCTCTGAGGTGTTCTTTTGTTCTGTTGTCTAACAAACATTCAGGGAAGTGTATTAGTCACTTTCCTGTCACTAGGGCAAAATACGCAACATCCACAATTTAAAGGAGGAGAGGCTTAACTGGGCTAATGGTTTTGGGGGATTTGGTCCAAGGTCATCTGGCTCCAAAGAAGTGGCATGGTGAAAAGACATGGCAGAGGAAAGCTGACAACCCACAGCAGCCAGGGAGCAGAGAGTAGGAATGGAGGAGCCAGGGACAGAATGCACCCTTCAGGTCACTTCCCAATGACCCACCTGTTCTGACCAGGACCCACCTTAACAGCACATTAATCCCTCAGTGACCATCTTCCAAAGCCCCACCTTGGAACACAAGAGATGTTTAGAGGACATTTTAGATCTAAAGCATAATGGGGCCAAGCCCTGGGGTAGGGAGGGTGGATACACAGTACCCGTAGAGCAACTTGGACCAAGACTTTCCCTCCAAAGGCTTACACTCTAGTGTAGAGTGAAAGTTCAAAGATGAGGTGACCATAACTACCATGTGTACCCAGCTTTGCCAAGGGACTAAAGCTTTTAGAAGAAGCCATAGTTGAGCCATGATCTAGACTAGGACAGATGGTGCCGTCAGGGTGGGAATGGGGATGGATGGGTGGGTGTAGGGAACACGAAGGTGCTCCAGCATGAGCTGCTCCACGGTGGCTCATAGCCTTGCCAAGCCTGCAGGACCCTGGCCTGTGATACACTCCTCCCTGCCCGGGGTCCACCCAGGGTCTTCAGCATCCACTGGGGCTGCCACCACACACCCAGCGCAGCTGCCTGTGGCCTTGCAGGAGAACGTCAGCTGCCTCAACACCAGCTTGGTGATCCTTATGCTGGCCCGACGGAAAGAGAGGCTGCCCTTGTACCTGCGCCTGCTGCAGCGGATGGAACACAGCAAAAAGTATCCTGGCTTCCTGCTCAACAACTTCCACAACCTACTGCGCTTCTGGCAGCAGCATTACTTACACAAAGACAAGGACAGCACCTGCCTGGAGAACGTGAGTGCCCCAGTCCCGAGTGGGTGGCAGGCGGGCAGTGGGCACACAGACCCAGGGGAGGATTGTTCCAGGAGCAGTGTCTTCACCTGGATCATGGGGCAGGATACTCTTTGTCCCTAGGGTTCTGGCTTGGCCTCAGTCCTCCAGGCGCCCTCCAGCCCCTCTCTCTTTACTCAGAGCTCCTGTATCAGCTTCTCATACTGGAAGGAGACAGTGTCCATCCTGTTGAACCCAGATCGCCAGTCACCTTCTGCCCTTGTCAGCTACATTGAAGAGCCCTACATGGACATAGACAGGGACTTCACTGAGGAGTGACCTGGGGCCAGGCCTTGGGAGGTTGCTGGGCCAGGGCCAGCGCAGGTGCACGTGGGTGCCCATGGCACATGCCCTGCCTGTTTCCACCTTCCACTGCCTCCCCCACTGCTGCCTGCCTGTCCCAGGTCCTGACACACAGACTCAGTGGAGGGAAGGAGCATCCTGCAGGCCCTGGGCCCCCGAGTCGGGGGAGCCTCATAATCAGGAAGGGCGCCATGCTCACCTGTCCCTCAGAACCCAGGGCCCCTGCTGGACTGCCCAGAGAAAGAGGACTTACAAAAATAGCTCTGTCTGAGCTCCTGCCCAGTCTCTTGGCTGTCCTGGGGTGGCAAGGGAGATAGAGGCCCCCCATCTGTGAGCTGAGCCTCTGGGCCCAGGTAGAGGTCCTGAGCCTTGGGCAGGCCTGAGGGTACAGAGAATGCCACCTTCCCCCAGGCCTGCCCATCTGTTGTCCCCTCCCTCCCTCCGTCTTCCTTTAGCTCCTCTGGTTCCGTTTGCTCATTGGCCACCATGTTCATCCCAGGAGGTTCCCCAAGAAGTGGGTATTTCTCCATCCCTTGGGGCATGAAGTGGCTGTGCCTGCCCTGTCCCAGGGCAGCATCTCCTGCCTGAGCTCAAACACAGGAGCCTGGCTGGGAGCTTATCTTTGGCCCTTCCTGTGTTGCCAATTTATTAACAGCAAATAAACCAATTAAATGGAGACTATTAAAGAACTTTATTTTAAATGACTGATGTGGACCTGATTTTGTCCATGGGACTGTGTTCCCCTCCCTTTCCTTAATTCCAAGCAGTAAGAAGGACACAGCTGTTGGAATAGAGGTGGCGTTTATTCAGGGTGCTCTGGGGCTTAGGAGGCTGAGTGGCCACAGATGGAGTTGAAGAGATGACAGGGTCTCAGCAGATGTCCCTCCTCAGCATGGCATCTCAGGCTGTCATTCTTTGTGCTAAGAGGGAAGGGAAGCAGAGTGAGCTGCACCACGTCTTTCCAGCCCATGCACCCTACCTGGAGGGCAGTGCCCCTCAGCCCCTCACCTTGGGGCCCAGGGCATCCCGGGTCCGCGCCCGAAGCTTGTTGGCCTGCGTCTCCGCCATGTCTGCTCGCTCCTCTGCATCATCCAGCTCGTGTTGAGCCTTGCGATACTTGGCCAGGTTGGTGCTGGCCTGCTGCTCCTGGGTACACATGCAGGGCCTTCAGTAACTGAAGTGGTCACTCTGGTCCTCCATGCTCTTGCCTCACCCTCGCCAGGACCCATGGCAGGAAAAGGAAGTGGAAACTCCTTCAGGATGCCTGAGTGCCACCTCCGGGCCTACTCACGGGAAACTAGAGATCTTAGGAACTTCAGGGTGTCACTGAGCTGGGACAAGGAAGCTGCTACCCTGCAGGGGAGGCTGTACTGACTTCTCCCCGGGCCATAGGTCACCACTGGGGCCTGGAGCCGCAGCCAAGACTGAGTTCCTTGGCACCCTGACCCATTCCGGGTGCCCAGACCCCAGTGTGCTCACCGCCTCCTCAAACTGGCGCTTGTAGCTTTTGACCTTGCTTTGCAGCTTGTCTACCAGATCCTGCATGCGAGCCAGGTTCTTCCTGTCCTCCTCAGCCTGGGAAGGTCAGGGGATTCAGGGTGTGCCCAGGCGGGGCCGGCGCTAGGGCCACCCCCGGGTAGACCCTTCCGCCCACCTGGTACGCAAGCTCCTTGACCCGACGCTCATGTTTGCGCACGCTCTTGAGGGCCTCAGTGTGCTTCTTCTGCTCTGCGTCAAGCTCGGCCTCCAGCTCCCGCACCTGGGGGCAGCCGAGGGTGGGCCTGCTGGCTGAGCCTGCCCCGGCCGCCCCCCCGGGAGTAAACACTCGCACATACCTTGGCCTCCAGCTTCTGCACCTGCTTCTTCCCACCCCGGAGGGCAGCCTGTTCGGCTTCCTCAAGGCGGGCCTGCAGCTCTCGCACAGTCTGCTCCAGAGTCTTCTTCATCCGTTCCAGGTGTGCACTTGTGTCCTGCTCCTTCTTCAATTCCTCGGCCATCATCGCTGCCTGTGGGGGAGGAGATGGTGTGGTCAAAGGGGACAAGCCCCCAGGGAGCGCTCTGTCCTGCATGCCTCCCCACCCTGCTACTCAGCCTCACGTCGGTGATGGCCTTTTTAGCCTTCTCCTCAGCTTCCCGCCTCTCCTGGGCAGCCTCCTCCACTTCTCCGCTCAACTGAGCCAAGTCTGCCTCCAGCTTCTTTTTCTGATTTAGGAGACCTGTGTTCTGGGGGGAAACAGACTCTCAGCTGGCCAGCGGGCTCCTCTGCCCCCACCCCTGTGGGCATCCTTGTCCCATCGCCACCTGCGAATGCAGGAGGTTGAGTCGCTCAGTGGCCTCCAGCAGCTCCTGCTCTGCCAGCCGCCGGCTGCGCTCGCCCTGTTCCAGGACAGCCCGCAGCTCTTCGAGCTCAGCTGCAAGCAACGCTGTCCGGCGCTCTAAGGCCTGTGCCTGCTCCCGGAGCTCCGCGGCCAGCCTCTGCTCCTCGTCTCGCCCTGCCTGCTCCTCTTTGAGTTGGGCCTGCAGCAGCCGTGTGGCTGCCTGTGCCTCCATGGTTTGGCGAGTAGCGTGGCCCAGCTGCAGCTCCAGGTCGTTGAGATCACCCTCCATCTTCTTCTTGAGCCTCAGAGCCTCGTTGCGAGCCCGGGTCTCCGCATCCAGGGAAGCCTGCAGAGACTCCACAGCCCGCTGGTGGTTGCGCCTGTGGGAAGGCAGGGTGGGGTGGGCTGGGTATGCGAGAAAGGAGTAGCACAAGCAACACAGGTACCCTCGGAAATGCTCAAGGACTGCTGGAGATGGAGACCCCTTCGGGGAGGAGACATCCTGCTTTGTGTTAAAATCTGTTGTGCTACTCATTTCTTTTTCTGGCAAGTTCAGACAAGCGTGAGGCCCAGGGACAGACCCAGAGTAAACTGGGTTGTCTTGACTGTGTAACCTTGGTTCACTTCTGGAATGGGGACCTGAGAAACCCATGTGCCAGAGGAAGATTAGATGACCAGGTCAGCGTGCCACCATGGGCATAGCCACTGCTTTTAATTCTTTCTCTGCCTGGAGGGAGGGCAGGAGCCAGACCTCAGGTTAGTGCACTCCTCATCCTTCTCCGCCAGCTTCCGGTCCACTTCCGCCTTGACCTGAGATAGCTCCAGCTGAATCCGCAGAGTCTTTGTCTCCTCCAGTTCCAGGGCCCCCTGGAACACAGCAGGCAGTGTGGGGTGAGCAAGGGGTGGGGGAGTGTTCAAGGAGCAAAGCAGCCGGGGGCTCACAGGTCAGCACCACCCACTCCCTGGCCATTCCTGACCTCAGCCTCCTCCAGTGCCGCCTGGAGCTCACTCTTCTCCCCTTCCAGCGCCTTCTTGGCTTTCTCCAGTTCCTGGATGCTCTTTCCACTGAGGCTGACCTGATCTGTGAGGTCACTAATCTCCTCTACAGAAAGGACAGGGCATTAAAGGGCCACCTGCATGGCTCATTCCCCAATCCAAGTTACTTCTTTCACCCCTGTTCCAGGGTAACCCTAAGGGGCTCCCAACCCTAGTCCTACCCTGCTGGTTACTTGTTTTTTGTCTTTTTGACACAGGGTCTCACTATGCAGTTCAGGCTGGCCTTGGGCCCATTTTATAGTCCAAGCCGGTCTGAACTTGCACCGATCCTCCTGCCTCAGCCTCCTGAGTGCTGGGATTGCAGGCTTGTGCCACTGTGCACAGCTTACCCTGCAGGTTCTTGTTCTCCCGCTTGACTGTCTCCAGGGCCTCAAGTGCCTCTTCATGGCTGTGCCGAAGCCGGAAGAGCTCAGTGCCCAGGCCACGGGCCTCCCTCTGTGCCGCCTCCAGCTCTCGCTGTGTCTCCTCCTCCTGCCGCCTCCGCTCCTCCAGAGCCCGCTCCAAGTGTCGCTGCTTTTTATCCAGCGCAGCAGCTGCTGAGGTCGCCCGCTCCAGCTCCAGGGTCACATCCTCTGTCTCCGTCTGCAGCCGTAGCTTAGCCTTCTCCAGTGATGAGCACTTGGCATTTGCAGCTTCTACGCCCTCTTCTGCCTCCTGTAGTCGCAGGGCCAGCTTCTTTCTGGGCCATGAACGAGACAGGATAAGGGTGTCTAGGGAAAGTAGTCCACAGCAGAAGGGTGCCTGCATCTCCCCTGGCCCTAGCAGGGCTTAGGCACAGATGTAAATGGTGACGACCTGGCCTCCACACTCACTTGGCCTCCTCCAGCTCCTCAGTCCTCTGGATGGCATCTGCCTCGTATTTGCTCCTCCACTGGGCTACCTCTGCATTGGCCTTGGACAGCAGCCGCTGTAGTTCAGCTTGGGCCTCCGCCTCTTCCTCATGCTGCTCCCGAAGGAGGTCACAGTCATGCCGCAAAGCCTGTACTGCATGGGCCAGTGCACTCTTGGCCTGAAGGGACATCAGTGGCCTTAGCATCAGTCAGGGCCAACAGTCCCAGTGTGTACCAGCCCCCTCTGCAGTCACCAGTGCTGGCTAACCTTGCTCTCCTCCTCCAGCTGCCTCCGAAGTTCCTCCAGGCTCTGGGCGGCAGAGGTCTTCCCACGGCTCAGCTGGCTGATCAGAGACTCCTTTTCCTCCAGCAGGCGGCCCAGCTCCACTGCAGGCAGAGGGCCAGGCAGGCACGTTTGGTGGGGATGGACAGTTTAGGCAGGCCCCACCTAGTGTGAACCCTGGCCTCACCATTCTCAGTCTGTAGCCGCCCACGCTGGGTGCTTGCATCTGCCAGCTGCCGCTGCAGCTCTTCTACTTTGATCTTGGCCTCACTTAGCTGATCTTCATAGGTCCGGCACAGCTTCTCTGCACTGGCCTGGGACCCAAAGTCAGAGGTCAAGACAAGTCTGCATCAGAGGGTAGGATCCGGGCCACCGTCAGAAACTGGGGCCTGGGATCAGGAACTGAAAAGGCCTAGGAACCAAAGGAGATCAGAGCCCCCACATTTGGGATCAGGGATTCCACTGGGCTTATACCTTAACAGGGCCCTCAGAATTGGAGGCCTAAATTGGCCCCAAAGACAACAGGTCAGATGAATGTTAGGATACTACAGACGGAGTCAGCTGGAGACTGCGGTCAGAAGTTAGGATTGAGTAATATAAAGGTCAGAGATCAAGGTGGGGTGCAGAGGTTCAAGACAGGAAAATCAAGATATGTATTAGGTCAGAGTTCAAAGGTCTGAGGTTGGAATTAGATGCTGGGTCAAAATGACTTGGAGCCAGGGAATGGGATTTAGGAGTCAGGGTCTGAGGTGAGGATTGCAGGGGGCTGAGGGTTAGATGCCAGGTACATTGGCCCAGGGGTCAGGATCAGGTGAGTCATCAAGGCTGCTGCAGACTCAGTACTAGACGAGGCAGCTGGGGGTCAGCGCCTACAGGCAGGACTGGCTTAAGAGTGAGGGTGAATCAGGAGTCAGGAAGAAGGCAGACACCTTGCTGCGGGCCAGAGTCTCCACATTTGCACCCAAATCGTCCACTTCCATGCGCAGCTCACTCTTTTCCTTTTCTAGCTTCTGCCGCACCCGCTGCAGGCTGTCCACCTGCTCTCCCAGCTCAGCTGCACTGTCTGCCTGCTTGCGCCGCAGGGTGGCCACTGTGGCCTCGTGTCGCAGTGCAGCCTCCTCCAGCTCCCGCCGCAGCCGGCCCAGCTCAGCCTCACGCTTGCGGCAGCCCTCGCGCTGCCCAGCCGATGCACCACCCGCCTCCTCCAGCCGCTCGCTCAGCTCTTCCAGCTCCCGGGCTGCCTCTGCCCGCTGCTTTTCCACACGGGCCCGGGCTGCCCGTTCAGCTTCCAGCTCCTCCTCTAGCTCCTCAGCCCGTGCCTGGGTGAAGATGAATAGGGTGTCAGCGTGGTGGACATCTGACCCTGCCTGGCTCACCTGGACCCTCTGCACACCTGCAACTCCTTGATCTTCTTCTGCAGTTGGGCACCCAGGAGCTGCTCGTCTTCTATGCGCAGGTTTAGCTGACTCAGTTCTGAGTCTTTCCTAGGAGCACAGCATGGGATGAACCATGAAGGCCTTCCTGCCACCCACCTGCCTGGAGTTCAAAAACCCCCACTCCTGAGGCCCTAAGTGACCACACCTGCTGCCCTGGGCCCTGCTAACTTCAGCCCTGGTCCAGGAAAGGCAGAACACTACCCCTGCCCTAGTGACCCCCATCTCTCAGCACCTCCACCTCACAGACACACACTCTGAACCTCCTTGCTAATGGGTCTTGTAACACCCAGAAGGGATGGAGAAGCCAGTCAGGCGTGGGAGCGACCTGCCACCCTGCCACCTACTTTTTTTTTTTGGTCTTTTTTGTTTTTATCAGTACCAGGGATCAAACTCACGACTGCCTGATTGCAAGGCAGGCGCTTATGCCACTGAGCTAAATCCCCAGCCCCAACACCTACTTCTTGAGCATTTCCTCCAACTGTTGCTTGTCTTGGGTGGTGTCTGTCACAGCCTCCTGTGTCAGCTTCAAGTCGCCCTCGAGCTTGCGCTTGGCCCGCTCTGTGTCCATGCGCAGTTTCTTTTCCTGCTCCAGGGAGCACTCCAGCTGTGGAGCAGGTGAGGCTCAGCTCTGGCTGCCCAGCACCTGCCTGCCACCCCCAGATTCCCCAGAGTAGCCCTGACTTACATCGTCCACCTGCTGCTCCAGCCGGAGTTTGGCCTTAGCCAGGGCACTCACGCGGTCCTCCTCGGCCTGCAGGTCGCCCAGGGCTTGCTGGTGCGCCTCCTGCAATGCCTTCTTCTCCTTGGTCAGCCGGGCCACTGACTCATCCAGTGTGGCCATCTCCTCTGTCAGGTTTTTCACCTGTTCCAGGGCCAAGGTCACTAAGGTTAAGTCCCTCCCTGCACTCTGGTCTGAGCAGCCACCAACCCCTTCCAGCTGTGATCACATCTCTGAAAGCCTCCACGCTTCCCATATCAAGGATAAGCCCTCCTCGGGCTGTGCAGTGATTAATGGGCAAAGGCTCAGCCCCAGGCACAGGCCTGGCCTAGGGTAACAGATGGGGAGAAGTCAGCCATTCATGTCAACAGGGGTTTGAGGTAGCTGCTTCCTAGTCCTGACCTGGTCCTGCACACCTGTGAGAACCCAAGCGGGCAGCTTACCACCTCCTGGCTTCACTTTTGCCTCCTACATAATGGGGTCAATACTACCACTGTGAACCACAACCACTGTGAGTGTTCAATGAGAGGAGGCATCTGTGGGAGACAGCACTAGGGATATGACACACCTGCCCTCTGGGGGCTTACAGTCCAGGATGGGTGACTCTAGGATTTTCTGAGCACCTACAGTGTATGAGGCCCACACTATGAGCTTAACAAATGCCAGTTACACACTGCATCCTCCACTATGCCACTGAGACAAGTGCTGCTAACCCCATTGACAGATGAGGAAATCAAGGCCCACAAGGCAGTGATCTGCCCTCAGGCTGCGTGGCCGCAGCCCAGCAGAGTCTAGGGGACTGCCTGGCCCCAACTTGGCCCCTGGGCTTGAGCCTGTCCTGCACCTGGCCCCGCCCAGACCTTGTTCTCAGTGGCTTGCTTCTCTTTCTCAGCCTTGGCCAGGGTCAGCTCCAGGTCATCAATGTCCTTCTTGAGCTCTGTGCACTCATCCTCCAACTTGCGCCGGCGTGCGGCCAGGTCAGCATTCACTTCCTCTTCATCCTCCAGCCGCTCGTTCAGCTCCTTCACCTTCGCCTCAAGCTGCACCTTAGACTTGATCAGCAAGTGGCAGCGCTCTTCAGCATCCGCCAGGTTTTCCTGCTCCTGGAGGGGACACATAGTGAGGCCACACTGATAGTCAGCTGCAGGGGCTGGGGATTTAGCTCAGCGGCATAAGCACCTGCCTTGCAAGCAGGCGGTTGTGAGTTCGATCTCTGATACTGATAAAAAGTTTTAAAAAAAAGAGTCAGCCGCAGGACACAAGGCCAGGCCCCGGAGAAGAAAGTACTTTGTCCACAGGAAGGTTTAACACTCACCCTCTGCTGGGCTCTGGGGCCCAATGTCTTAAACTCCTTTTGGCCCTGGAGGGCTCAGGGAGAGGGATGCACAGGGCACCACCAGGTGGGTAACAATTAGATGGGCTGGGGCAACCCAGAGGGAAACTCGAAAAGTCTGGAAAAGCCCACAACCTACTCCTATGCATTGGGGCTGAAGCCCTCTGAGGGGCAGGTCAGCCATGGCAGGCAAGTGGGGCCCTGCACAGCTACTGAGGAACCCCTGAGACACTGTCCCTCGAGGGACTCGGGTAATCTTTCCCTTTGCTTCTTCTCTGCCTGGCTGCATAACTGTTCCTGCAGTAATGGGTGACTTTTATGACTATGGCCTCTGTCTTTGCATAACTAGCCTGAGACTGGCACATAATGATACTCAGAACCTGTGCTGAAGGAAGGACAATTTATACTGAAGACTTCGAGAGTTTTCTAGCTATGACCCCCTTACCTGCCACGTGGGTTCCCATGGCCTTTGCCCAAAGAAGGAAGCAAGGGTCTGTTTCAGGGGCAACCAAGAGAGGACAGCTGGGGAGCTAGGGTTCATCGGCAAGTCTGTGAGGCTCCAGGGGAGAAGCCATCAGCGCACAGGGACAGACAAGGCCTGGACACTTGCTCACAGACCTCATCTCATGGCCCCCAGGGTAGGAAGAAAGGCCCAGAGAAGAGCACTCCAGACCACTCTGGCTGCAGCATTTCCTCAGCGCAGCCTGGGTTCTTAGAGTGCCAGGGGACACCAAGTCACCAAGGGGGCCCTTTACCCTTCCACACTCACTGCCTGCAGCTGCAGGGCCAGGTCATTCTTCTCCTGGGTGACACTGACTTGAGTCTCTTCCAGCTCCTGGCGCTTGGTCTCAGCAGCTGCCAGCGCCCCTCGCAGCCCTCGTAGCTCTGCCCTCAGAGCTGCCAGCTCCTCCTCAGCTTGTGCTGAGCGCAGCAATGGCTTCATCTTGAAGAAAAGCTTCATCCATGACCAATTCTTGACAGCATTGAAGGCACGGATGTTCCACTGGATGGTGAACAGGGCATCCCTAGGGAGAGGGAGCCCCTGTGAAGCCAGCCCAATGCTTCCCTCTTCAAGGTGAGGCCAGAGAGTCCCTGAGCACCTACTCTGGTATCCCACTAAGTTCCTGCCCATGGTATCTCACTTAGTGTTCCCAAGAGCCTTCTGGAGGAGAACCTAATGTGCACCCTCCATCGGGGTGGGGGACTCTTGAAGTAAAGACAGTGGGGGTGGGGGTGGCATTAGGCCACCAGGCCCTGGGGCCAGACCACTGGACCCACTTCCCCTAGGTTGGGATACTCACAACACCTACCTCTGAAGACTGCCTCATATTTTAACCAAGAAAATGTAAATAAAGTATCTGGCCTAGCACCTAGAAATCACTGGATGCCACTGTCATTTCTCCAGGCTGTAATTCCAGGATGCCCAGGACTGGAGCTGCAGATGCTCTCACCCAAACCATGAGACACAGAATTGGAGCCTCCGGGCTGCGGGTGCAGAACAGAACCTCACCCCAGCCATCCACAAGGTATAATGTGACTGGAGGTGGAGAACCTGGTGGCTCTGTGAACCAAGGAACAGTGACCACACCTCCTCCATGTCTACTGTCTCTTCTCATACCCACCTGCCTCCCAGCATGCGCTGGTACTCAAGGCGCATGAGACGGCCTCGGCTTCGGGCCTGCAGCAGTGTCAGCACCTTGGCCAGACGCTGGTCACGGAGCTCTTCCAGGACACCTAGAAGCCCGGCTTTGAAGAACACCTGGGGACCAGGGATGAGGGAAGCTTGATGTGACCTGTGACCAGTGTGACCAGCCTCACTGGGGTCAGCCTTAACTCCAGAGTGCCCAGACCTTGGTGTGACCAAACTGGTACTGGGTGTGGTCAATGTCTAGCGAACCCAGCAGCTTCTCTGTGGCCTTCCTACTGTCCATGAAGGTGTCATCTGGGATGGCACTGGGGTTCAGGATACGGTACCTAGGGCAGCAGGGAAGGGCTGGTGAGCAGAGGACAGTACACCGGCCACTGAGAAAGGAGAAGTCAAGGACAGAGTAGGCCACTGGGGCAGCAGGGGTGTCATCCCTAGTCTCCTAGAGGCTGGTGCAGATTCTACAATGGCACATACTGACCAAGGTAGCAGGAGAGGTGTCATCATATTGGGGATTTGAAGCATTCTGCTCAAAACCCCTGGGTGTGTTTAAATACACTCAGTAAGTTTTTAAACAGGATTTAGTTTTCACAAAGGTGCTACTTTTATAATTTTTAAAGGTAAAAAATGTAATGTGCTATACCATGTCAAATCAAGAAACATTTGGGATAGAGTTCTACACAAAAACAGCAAGGGTTCCTGGCATATCCACCCCTTAAAAAAGATACATGCACATGTGTGTGGGGCCATGTGGCTCAGGCCAAATAATGATGAAAAAAACCCTGAACACATAAAGTTGCCCCTCACTAAGACAGCTTGCTTTGTTTTGCTTTGTTTTTTGAGATAGGGTCTTGCTATCTAGTTCAGGCTAGCTCTGAACTTACTATGCAGCCCAAGCTGGCCTCAAACTCAGATATCCTCCCGCCTCAGCCTCCCAAGTGCTGGGATTATAGGATTGCACTGCCATACCTTGTTTAGGAGGGCTTGTTAAACAAAGTATATGGTTCACTAGAATATGGAATGTTTAACAGCCATAAAAAATGGATGATGATGCAGAATTAAGCCTGTTGGTAAAGAACAATCTCCAAGACTGATAATGACATGAAAACAAACTCACACACTGTGTGGGTGCAGGCGGTTGTGCACATGCCCGCACATGCAGTGCCTGATGTGGTGATGCCTCCTCTGCTACCTTTTTTGGTGAGTGGCCCTCTGTTTGTACAGACATTTACAAAGGACCACGTTATCCCTCAAATGGAAGGAGCAACGGACACTTTCAACCTCAAGGGAGGTGGAAAGGAAGCTGACGGTCTTGATGGTGTGCTCAGCGCAAGCCAGGCATTGTATGAAGTCAGTCCATGTGAATTCTCATTCAACTCCCAAATCTACATCCACTTGCTCCCCCGGGCTCCAGAAAAACAACCCAAGCACCCCTGCAACTTTTCTTCTAGGATGCCTACCGGAGACATTTTTAAACTGGTACGCAGGGCAGTGCTCACACTACTACTCTCTCGACCCCCAAGTCAAAACATCCTGCCTTATATCTGAGTGAACTCCCCATGGTCCCCATGGTCTTTACTTTTTTTTTTTCTAATGCTATTTCCAAGTCACCTGCAAGATATTTTGGCCCCGCCTCCCACATTTACCCCAAGTCTCCTGGCTTCTCGCCCCACCCTCCCCCCACAGGGAGCCACCAGTCTCTCACGTTCCCCACCCCACTGAAACCTGTTCTCCCTTGAGGCCCTGACCTATGCCTTTTCTGCCCCTCAGGCTGTGGCTTCCACCTGGAGCTGGGGGCAGGACCGGAGCTGAGGCGAACTGAGTGAGTCGAGGCTGAGGGAGGAACACGCACCGCTGCCTGAAGTCCGCGTACAGCAGCCTGTTGGGGAACCCTTGGCGGCAGATCCGGATCCCCTCTAGGACCCCATTGCAGCGTAGCTGGTGGAGCACCAAGAAGGCATCCATGACCCCTGGATGTGGTGGGGGATAAAGAAAAAGGTTAGAGGTTTAAGGACACAAATTTGGGTCCTACAAAGAAATGAAACAGCCAGGGCTTATTATGAGTCTATACGAGAAGGCGAAACTTTTCCAGCCTCTACCCTTCAGTGTCCCTCCTGCCCAAGCCGGCCCTGGGGACACTACCTGGTGTCTTGTTCTCATTAGGAACAATGCAGCGGACAAAGTGGGGCTGTGTGGCTCGCAGGTTGGTCATCAGCTTGTTGAGGTTCTCCTGGGAGTGAGAAGAGCGGGGAGAAGCACAGAAGGGGGGAACCAGAATTGGATGCCGCAGTGGGTCGGGCCTAATTACACTCTGCACCTGCATCCTTTCACTATTGCTCCTTGTGACAACCGGCCCTCACCCATCACCAACCTCCAGTCCTCACCCCCACAGATCCCCTCCCTCGAACAGTCCCTGTGGCTCCTTCCCCCTCCCCTCAGCCCTGCCTAGGCAGCATGGGGACGGGAAGCAGCACAGACTTGCTGTGATGTTCACGTGGAGAGGAATTAAACATCACTGCAAGTCTTAACAGCCGCCCGCCCAGGGCCCAGGGGATGCAGCAGGAAGTGGACAGGGCTGGAGACCAGTGAGGGTCACAGCCTCAACTGGGACTCACCTTGTGCAGCTGGGACACCGTCTGGAATGACGCTGCCTTCTTACGCTTCTCCTTCACTCCAGACTTGGGGGGCTCAGCTAGCAGAGACATGGGGCCTGTCACTACAGGGAATCCACTCTGGAGGCCCCTGTGGGGACAGAGAGCTTGTCCCTGGTTACTCACCGGAACAGGAGCCTGAATAATTCTCATAGAGAGTAGCCAGGAGCTTGTTCTGAGACTTTTGGAAGATGGGGACCACTGTCTCATTCAAAGGATCCTTGTTTTTCTCCAGCCAGCCCACGATGCTGTAAGGCACCTAGAGATGAGACAAGGGCTGAGCCATGGTAGGAGACCCGAGGATGGAGGGAGGGGAGTAGCTGAGGGTTGGGTTCCAAAGGAAACCTACCACGCCTGCATAGTGGACCACCTCGAAGTGGGCCTGATATTTGCGCTTTTTATCAGGTCGAGGCTGCTGAAAATTGGGTGATTTCCCTGCATGGTTGTCATACAGCTTGGCCCGAAAGCTTGCATCTGAGGCCTTGGGGAACATGCACTCCTCCTCCAAGATGGACAGGATCCCTAGTGGCTAGGAACAGAGAACACGGACCAGCCCATCTTGGCTAAGCCAGACCTTTGTCTCCCAAACCACCTCCCTGTAGAAGCCATTCTGGATCCTCAACCCCAACCATCTCATCAGAGAGCTGGAGACCAGACCAGCTCCCAGGAGCCCTACCTTCAATAAGAAAGGCAAGTTTGTGGCTTGGCGTCCATCTGCTTTCTGCCTGAGCCATACCACACTGAATTATCTTCTTTGCTTATAAAAGATGTATAACTCCAAACTGGCATCTCCATACTCACTCTTGTTTTGTTTTAGAGTGGGTTCTCAGGCTAGCCTTGAACTCGCTATGTAGCCCCAGGCTGGGCTCAAACTTGTGACCTTCCTCCTGCCTCAGCCTTCCATGTGCTAGGTATGTGCCACCACACCCAACTTTGTATCTACTCTTCTTCCCCAACATCCATGGGGCATACATACATGTACGCATGCACACACACACACACACACACACACACACATACACAAATACATGATAAGAAAAAAAAAAGGACATGAAGTCCACATTTTGGCTCCCATACTTAATAGCTATGGGAAGTTTATACCTCACTAAACTTCTATTTCCTAACCAGCTAAATGGGAAAATTACTATCTGAAGTTCTAATACACTTTGAGTGTGATACTAGGGAGTGTTCTACCACTGAGCTACCTTCTCAGCCCCTTTTTTTTTTTTTTTTTTTGTCTTTTTCATTTTTATCGGTACCAGGGATCGAACTCACGACTGCCTGCTTGCAAGGCAGGTGCTTATGCCGTTGAGCTAAATCCCCAGCCCCTCCTTTTTATTTTTTAAGACAGGAATGTCCTAACTGCCTGTTAGCCTTGAACTTGTGATCTGCCTCAGCTTCCTGAGGAACTGAAATTATAGGGTCATGCCACCACACCCAACAGTGCTGATATAACAGCAAAACACTGTCAATCAAAAAACAAACAAACAAAACTGTCAACTGCCTCAATGCCCGACAGCTGAGGATGAGTCATCTGCTACACCATCTATTCTGCCTCCTTCAACAATATTCAGAGTACATTTTCTAATAAAAAGCATGAAGTGAACTGAATCTATGGCCATAAAGAAAATAATTGCCCACAACAAAGGAGTTGGAGGAAATTAATTCAATTAAGTTGGAGGGTTAAGACACAGGCTGTGGGAAGAATGAAAAGAGATTTTTTATTATATCTAATTTTTCCAGCTGTAATTTTCTTTCCTCTATTCAGCACATTTACACACGCACTGGTACAGTCCTGCCTACAACAAGCACACACTCTCCTTCTCGTGCTAGCACTGACCCCGGGCCCACCTTCTCGATGAGGTCAATGCAGGGCTGCAGGTCAAGACCGAAGTCGATGAAGACCCAGTCGATGCCCTCGCGCTTGTACTCCTCCTGCTCCAGCACAAACATGTGCTGATTGAAGAACTGCTGCAGCTTCTCGTTGGTGAAGTTGATGCACAGCTGCTCAAAGCTGTTAAACTATGAGAAGGAGGTGCCAGCTCAGCAGGCGCCTTGCAGAAGGACAGTGAGGTCCATGGGGGCAGGGATGTGCACCAACTCACCAGGCCTGCCCACCCAAAACCCTCCATCTTAGAACAGAGCCTGGGGACGGGGGCCACTTTTCACCTCAAAGATCTCAAAACCAGCAATGTCCAGGACCCCAATGAAGAACTGCCGGGGCAGCTTTGTGTCCAGGGTCTGGTTGATCCGAGACACCAGCCACCGGAACAGCCGGTCATAGGTGGCCTTGGCCAGGGCCCCCACTGCAAACACCACCTGGGGGAGAAGGGAGGCTGGGCTGGGAACTGGCAAGGAAGGACCCTGCCCCACGTGGGGACCCTGCCCCAGGAGGGGTTGGCCTTCAGGCAGCTCACCTGCTCTACACTCTGGCCCTTGGTCACATACTCATTCCCCACACGCACTCGGGGGTGCAAAAGGCCTTTGAGCAGGTCCCCACTGCTGACTCCCATCAGGTAGGCAGCCTTGTCAGCACCTAGCAGGCAGACAGGCTGGCTAAGGAAGGAGGAGGTCAATGCGCTTGGGGTACAGTGTATCAGCCTGGAGTTAAGGGAAGGAAGCTGGGAGGAGAGAAGTCAGGGCTTGTACACTGCCAGCCGCAGCGTGAGGGTCTGGAGTTGAGGAGTCAAAAACAGGTAAGACTGAAGCCAAAGGTCATGGACAAGAGTTAGGGTTAATAATGACCAGGGTTGGGCTGGGGATTTAGCTCAGCATATAAGCGCCTGTGAGGCAAGCACGAGATCTTGAGTTTGATCCCCGGTACCAAAAAAAAAAAAGATCAGGGACAAGATATGGTGATCAGGGTTGAGATGAAGGCCAGACCAGGATCAAGGCCACTCACTCTCAGTGCCATCGGCCTCGGCCTGCTCCTCCCGCTGCTTCTGCTTGAACTTCATGTTGCCGAAGTGCAGGAGGGCACCCACAATCTTATAGCAAGCGCACTTCTCGTCCACGCTGAAGCCCAGGATGTCCATGGCATGCTGGGGAGTGGAGAACTCTGAGTAGGCTCAGAGAAGTCTGGGCCCCTCTAGGGTCCAGCTAGGCACTGCCCCCACTGACAGTGCTCCCTGGTCCCCACCTAGCCCACATATCCATGAGCCCCACACCACAGGTTCTCCGCTCAGCCCTCGCCCCACACGACCCATACATCCGTGGCGATGAGCTCCTCCCCGTCATCCATGTTATCCACGGTGATGACACCCTGGCTGCAGAAGTGGTAGTCGTAGGGGTTCATAGACAGAAGCAGCATGTCTACGGTACAACAGGAGGGCGGGGCAAGCTGCTCACCAGGGTGCTCTCTTTCCTGTCTCAGCACAGTGTGTCCTGGAGGGCCCACCCAGAGGAGCCTAGGACCTTTCTATGATTTCTCTGGAACCTGGGTTTTTGATCCCACCCCGGAGTCCATGGCTTTTTTTTTTTTTTTTTTTTTTTTTTTGGTCTTTTTCTTTTTTATTGGTACCAGGGATCGAACTCACGACCACACACTTGCAAGGCAGGTGTTTATGCCACTGAGCTAAATCCCTAACCGCCCCCCTCCCGCTTTTTTTTGGTCTTTTGGAGACAGGATCTCAGGTTGGCCTTGAAGTCACTATCTACCCCAGGCTAGCCTCAAACTCACAGCCATCCTCCTGCCTCAGCCTGCCCAGTGCTGGGATTATAGGTGTGTGCCACCATGTCTGGCCTATGGCTTTTTTTTTTTAAACTTAGTTTTTATTTACTACATGGTGCTAGGTACTGATCCTAGACCCTTGTGCATGCTTGGGTCTTGTGCATGGTTAAGTTCTCCACCACTGTGCACACTCCACGCCCTTCTAGTTTTTGGTTTTATATTTTTGAGGGGCTTCTTTGTGGTTTTCTGAGGAGTGATTCCTAGTCCCTGTATCTCATGCCCTTGCCCACAGCTCACAGTCCTTGTGTGAACTCAGAACCTGAGCTGAGTACTGGGACATACTGAGACTGCCCTCGAGAGGCTAGCAAGGAGGGCACTGGATGCAGACAACCGTACAGACTGAGCTTCATGGAGCCAAAGTGCAGGGGCACACTGTGGTGCTGAGAGGCCCTCTAATTTCTGGATGGCAGGAGGGATGTCAGTTTGTATGAGAAGCTATGTAATTTTGGCAGGACAATGGTGCTAAGAGACCCATTCTGTGGCCCAAGGCAGGAGCTCAGCAATAATCAGAAGTCCCAGGTAGGACTTAGGGAACACAGTGGACTCTGAGTCCCCAGCAAAGTAGGGACATCATGGCCCTCAGGACATGGAAGGAATAGCCATCCCAAGGGCCAGGAAGGGCCAAGTGGCCCCTCTGGGTTCTGCCTCCTCCCCTCCATCCATGGCTCTTACCCTGCAGCTCTGGCTTCTTCCCCGAGAGGATCTGGTAGTAGACATGGTAGCCACGCTCACCAGGCAGCTGGAAGATCACTCGAGACTTCTCCAAGAGATCTGCAGGGAAGAGGAACCCACCTGTCTGTCCTGTACCTCCCCAGAGTAGACACCCCAAAGGGGGACACAGGGTGGGGAAGAGGAGACAGTGAGAGGGAAGGGGTGCTATGTTCACACAGGCCAGCAGGTGCTGGGAGCGAGTCTCTCCATCAGCACCTGTGTCATGTGTGGGATGTATCTGTTGTACCTCTGTGTGTCTCTGGCCAGAGGTGCTGGTGTGTGTCCTCAAGAATAGGGGTGTGAATAGGGGTTTCTGTGAACGTAGGATTTTGTGTTGATTTGGATTGGGGTTTTTTTGTTCACTAGCTTGTTTTGTAGCACTAGAGATCAAAACACCTAGGGGTGCTCTACCACTGAGCTACATCTTCAGGCTTATTTATTTACTTAATTCTGGGACAGGATCTCATTAAATTGTTCAGGCAAGACTGAACTTGCAGTCCTCCTGCCTCAGCCTCCCTCTGCACTGGTATTACAGGCACACATATTGGGCTGTGTGCAGGTTTTCATTTGTTGGTATGTCAGTATGTGTGCGCTTATCCCTCAGGATCTGGTCATGTATTCCAAGGTGGGGCTCAGTCAGCATAGTTGCTCCTCTGTGCATGTGACCTGTTAGTGTGGACTGGAGAGCTGGTGTCTGGGCAAATGGGCTACACCAGGCAGGTGTGACGTTCCAGTGAGTGGTTAGGTGGCCTGAAATGGATACTGGCAGAGGGATGGAGAGAAACTCAAAGAACAGGCAGCAGTAGGTCTAAGCAAAGGGTTCAGTTCAGCCTACGCCCCTGCCTGCCCCGCCCCACCCTGCCCCATCCCGCCCAGTCCTGGACTCACAGCTGTCAATATCTGCAGAGGCCAGCTTCCCAGAGGGACCAAAGTGAATCCGGATGAACTTGCCCTGAAAACATGGGGGCTGCCCTCAGCCCATGGGCTCAGCCAGTGCTGCCCAACCTGTTAGAGGCTCCCACAAGATCTAATGACCTGCTCCATCCCCAGCCACCTCTGCCACTGTGGCCACTCACAAAGCGGGAGGAGTTGTCATTCCTCAAGGTCTTGGCGTTGCCAAAAGCTTCCATGGCAGGGTTGGCCTCGATGATTTGATCCTCAAGGGTGCCCTGGCATCGGCAAGGGGTGAGGGATCTGTCAGCTCTGGCTCTTATGGGCTGGTAGCCAGTGAGGCACACACACCCTGTGTTCGAAGGGGAAGGTGGGATTCCCAGGACCTCAGAGTTGTTGCCTGCCTTGCTCCCACTGCCCCATACTTACCCCAGTCTTTGTTGCCAGAAATTGCTGGGGGAGAAAGGAAGATAAAATTAGAGGTTGCGAGGTCTCACCAGATAAGGGGGTAGGGATGGTAGTTAGAAAGACAGTGAATGTTAGTCACCAAATCTTCACTGACAGTAGATGTAACACACATCTCACCACCCCTACTCCCCAAGGACTGGCCTTCCTGGGCTATTAGGAGAGTTTCAAGAATGAGGGAGCAAGCCAGGGGCTTGAGGGACGGGGCTGCACTAGGATCCCCATGTCTGGCCTCCTCCCACACCCATGCAGTGCCACCTGCCCCGGGCCCCACGGTCTCCTGACTAAAATCTACTCTCCTCCAAAGCTCGGGTAAAGCACGCCCTCTTCTAGGAGGATACTGCTGACACTCAGGCCAGACTCTCAGACTCTTCCTGCACTGAACGTTCCTACCCTAACCTTCCTGATGGTCCTTTTACACACTTCTTTGGTATTGTGATCAGCTCTGTCTGCATTAAACATTTTATACCTACTGTGATTGAAAATGGCCCAGCCTCATGCATATTATTAGCCCCAATTTTCAAGTAAGAAACTTAAGACTTGGGCAAGAAGCTGACCTGCCAAGGATACATAGCAAGTTGGGCTCTAGGGCAGGCCATGCCCAGGTATCTCCCTCCTTCCCTCCCTCCGTCTGCCTCTCCCGTGTCACACCCTGAAGGATGGAGCTGATACTCCTTCCCCTCCCAGCCTCATCCTTCTCATTCCTCCATTTTCCCCTTCCTTTTCTTCTTTACCCTGATGCCAGGAGCCTAAGCAGAAAGAGAAAGGAAGGAATGGATTCTGGAGACAGCAGAGGTGCTCCCAGGGACTTGTGCTCATTCATTCATTTATTCATCCCCAGGGAGCCCGAAACTTGAAAATGTCCCCTAGACACTACCAGAGAGAGGACGGCAGGAGAGAAGTGACAGGTGCCCTCCCTCACACTCCCACCCAGTCTTTCTGTGCAAGGCCTCCTCTGGTCTGTTTGGCCAAATTGGGATGAAGGGGAGGAGATGGATACAACTTAAGTTCCCACCTCCTGCGGGCAGCTTCCACCCACCTCCATCTGACCCTATCCGTAAACTCCATGGTTAGGGCCCCTTTCTGCACACGTGCTCCCCTGCCCCAGCCCTCTGTTTGGGTCCTTGCTAGCTCTTGCCTTCCCTGCCATCTTGTCTTATGACTGGACCAACCTAATTTTCTGCAGCATCCACAAAGGCCTTTTGGATGGGGAAGGGAGGGAAGAAAGAGTACCAAAAAGTCAACAGCAAAACAGAACAACAGCCACAACCAAAAAACAAAACTAAAAGAAAAATCAAAACCCAAGAAAACCAAGTGGCGGGAAAAAGAGAAGGAAAAAAAGAAAAAGAAAAAGAAAATGCCCCAGAATAAAGCAAGGCTCAACAGGACCAGATCAGGAATGATAGCTGTGTGCAGAAGAAGGCCTGCAGCCTCTGGGGAGAAATGGCAGCCTCCCACGGGCTGCACGAGCGGTGGTCAAGGGGCAGCTCGGAGCTCGGAACAGCTGGCCCTTGAGCTAGGAATGGAACGTTTTACTTTGAAAATGAAAAGCAAAATAGATATTTGGGTTCCAATTAGTTGGGAAATTTTCAAAAATCTTCTTTTAATTTTTATTTTTTGTTTGTTTTGAGACAGCATCTCACCATGTAGTCACTATGCCTAGCTGAAAATTTCCAAATGTCTTACAGAAGTCATGGGTCACAAAATTGTTGAGAGTCTCCAGTACTCTCAGCTCTGGCTAAGTAATCTCTATGTATAAACTTGCTCTTTCTGATTGCCAGCAGGTAACTGTTTTCAGTGAATGAAAACCAAGAAAACAATCACTTCATAACAAAAACAGTCTCTTTGCTGAACTCTTTCAAACTATGAAGGTCACAATGCAAGAGAAAAATGATACAAAAATGTTTAAGACTAGCAATGTGGCCCTGCACATGTGTGTCACAGAAGGGCACACTGCAGCAGGCCCAGCACACGCAGTGTCGGAAGTGGCCACAGATTTTCTGGTCAAGCCTTGCTCAGGCCAGAGTCTCCCATTAAAGTGGGAGGCTCAGGCGGGGCGGAGACTCTAAAGAATCAAAATTTTAATAAGAAGAAATAATAATTTAAAAAGGAGGAGAAGAGAGAAGAGGAAAAAAAATAGCAAAAAGCAGTAGGGATCAGTGCCCAGGTGGGCAAGTCTTACGGCCTTCTTGCCCGGCCCGTCTCCCAGGGCAGCGACGATGGCAAAGTACTGAATGACCCGCTTGGTGTTAACCGTCTTACCGGCCCCCGACTCTCCGCTTGGACAACACAAACATGAGTCACCACGGCCCATCTGGTCGAATGCCCCAGCCCTCACCACCTCACCCTTCTTTCATTCTCCCCACTCAGCTCCCAAACCAGTACCCCCAACTCCAAGCCCCCAGCAATAAGTCAAGCATCTAGGTGTTGTTCACAAAGCAAACCAGTGGAGACCATGCCCGCCAGGTGACCTCATGCATGATGACCGCTGTTCCCCGAGTGACATTTAGCTCCTGGTGCTGGACTTTACCTCCATCTGTTCAGTTATGCCTCAGAAAACTTTGTAAGGCAGAGACCATTATCATTCTTTGGATAAGGAAATAGGCCTCTGACCTTTTCCTGCTGGGCCCAGGCCCATGAATCAATTCACTGACTCCTCATTATTCTGTGTTGTGGGCAGGACTGTTCTATTTTTATTGGTGAGGCTAAGGCCCAACAGCACACAGCAGGAAATGGAAACATGAGAACTTGAATCCAAGTCTATCTGATTGCAAAGCCTTTGTTCTTTACCAACAGGCTGCAAGTTTTTACTGCTGTGTGTGTGTGCGTGCGCATGTGTATACACATAAACATGGTCCATATTGGGTTGGTGGACATAAACCTGATATGTGAAAATTTCATCCAGACATGGTAGTGATCTGTAATCTTGTGAGGCTGAAGCAGGAGGATCGCCATGAATTCAAGGCCAACCTGGGCTTCATAGTGAATTCAAGGACAGACTGAATTACATAGTAAGGTCCTGTCCCCCAAAAAACAGAAACAAAAAAAAACCTCAAAAATGAAACAATAAAGAAATATGCCAATTCCCATGAAGGGAAAGAAAGGATCAGAGATAAGACACAGAGATAAATAGCCAGTGAGAAGCAGATCTCGCTAAGGAGGATGGTAAGGAGAGAAAGGAACTGCCCACTTCCCTTTAGCCAGAATTAGAATCCCACAAAGGATCCAGGTGGGAGATTCTGGACCTTGGGGGGTTGGTACTGGAGTTGGTGATCACTTCTGCACTTGGGCATCCCCTTCCTACTCACTCATAAACAAGGGCAGAGCAGGTACTCAGACCTGACATAGCTTCAGCTGGGACACTGTATCCAGGTGGTAAAACCCCTACTTATAAGTACTTTGGGTTGTTTGTTTATTCAGTTCTAGGGGTTGAACCTAGGGGCACTTACAACTGAGTTACAGTTGCCAGTCCTCTTTAGTTTTTGAGACAGGGCCTCACTAAGTTGCCCAAGCTAGCCTGGAACTTGTGATTGCTCCTATCTTGATTTCCCAAGTAGCTGGGGATTATTGGCATGCATCCCAGCACCTCGCTCTAAGCACCGGAGACTCCGCACTGCTAAATGACTGGTTCTGCCCGCTTCCTGCCAAAGGGGTCCCACCCCGCCCCCATACTCCATGACACTCACGTGATCAGCATCGACTGGTTCTCTCGATCTGGAGGAAAGGAGAGGGGACAGGGAAGTCATCTAGGTGAGGTGAGGGAGCAGCAAGCACTGGGAAAGACAGTTCTCCACCCAGGGCTGAAAATGGAGAGAACCAGGGGACCATCCAGACTGGAAAGGCAGAGTGCTATGCTAGTGACCATCAGCCTCACCGAAGGGCAGTACAGTAGGGGAACAGGATTCTTTCCAGGGCCTTCCCAAAGCCAGGGCAAGGGTGCTGGGTGGGTGGGGGAGAAGGTGGCGGCGGCCCTTACTGCGCAGCATGTCGTTGTAGGCGTTATCTGCCACTGAGTATATATGAGGCGGGGCCTCTGAGCGGCGCTTTCCCTTGTAAGCAGCCACTACAGAAGCTGTGTAGACTGGGAGCCATTTGTAGGGGTTGATGGTGACACAGAACAGGCCTGAGTATGTCTGAGGAGAGAGCGTAGAGGTACAGTTCTGTTTGGGGGGCCCAAGTTTCCAGTCCCAGACCCCCATGCTCACAACCCTACAGCTCCTATGATATTCCTCGAGGGGCCCATCAGCGCTCTGTGCTCTATCCCCTTGGTTGTCCAGGTCCTGCCCAGCCCTTTCTCTTGCCCTCAGATCCCCATCCAACTAGTGGCTCTGCCTCCACAATTGGTAGCTGAGCCACTGTGGAGGGCACAGTGACATCACTCAGCCGTACTTCTAGGTGCCTTCACATCCAGCTAGGGCGCTCCTCTCGTCCAATGCTGCTAGGCATCTATTGCCCTAGTGGGCTCCTCCCGCTCCTCTCTGGCCCGACCCCACACATCCCTACCCTGGCCATGGCTCACATAGATCATCCAGCGAGCATAGCGCTGGCGCAGGTTGTGCAGCACGGAGGCCTCGTTGAGGTGTGTCATCATGGCCATGTCCTCCAGCAAGTCAAAGCGGGGTGGGTTCATGGGCTGCAGCTCACTCTCACGCACCGTCAGCACCTACCAATGAAGCATGTCATTAAGATGAAGAAGGGAAGGGACCAACAGATCTTACCTTTCACTCACACCCATACACTCCCCAACCTCAGCAATCAGAGTTAGAATCCCACAGGCCAGGAGCACGCCCTCGAGAATAGAGGGGCTTATCTCAAGAAAGTAAAAGTCGAACCTTCTGGTCTTTTGTCTCCACATTAACTCTTCCCCCGGAAGCCTCTGACTTGACCTCTGCCTCCACGTAGGCATCTTGTTCATCAGGTACCCAGACTCGTTTCTTCCCTGGGTTGCAGAAAGATCATCAAGACTAAGAGAGGGCCTAAGACACCCCGTAGGGTCAAGCTGGGCTTCCCAAACTGTGTCCATAGATCTGCGCCCCTCCAAGAAGTCCTTCTGGCAGGACACAGGAGTCCTTGTAAGACCCCTTCAAACCCCAGGTCAGAGATGAGGATCCCTAGAGATTGAAAAAAAATCTTTTGATTGTAAAAATGTCTGTTTTGCACACTTGGGCTCAGATCCCCATTTCAGTCACATATGTCTTGCAACATGGGAAAAAAATCCCTCATTCTTTCTGGGCTTTCCCCTCAAATACAAAATATCTTGAGGCTCTCTAGAGGCCCCAAATGAAGCAGCCCCTTGATACTGTATCAGGCACATAACTCTCAGTAGATGTTTGCCTTCCCCATTTCACTGAAGATTCAGATCTCTTAACCCTGTCCAAAGCTCTTTAATCTGTGGCTAGCTAGCCCCGGGTCTTTGGAAAGCCCAAATTTTTCCTTGTTTTATTTTTGTGACAGAGTCTCACTCTTTACTTCAGGCTGGCCTGGAAATAGCATCGATCCTCCCATCTCAGCCTCCTCAGTGCTGGGATTATAGGCATACATAATACCTAGCTCGGAGAGCCCAAATTGTGTGGCAGTTAAAAACAGACTCCTCTATCCCAACATCCTAAGGAGGCTGAGGCTAAAGAATCATGAGTTCAAGGCCAGTTTGGCTACATAGCAAGGTCCTTGTCTCATAACTAGGTAGGTAGATAGACTAACAGATGAATTCAGACCACAGACTGTAGGTTCTGTTTCCTTCTCCCTCCTACATGTGAGCCAAGTTCCTTGACCAGGACCATCTACATAATTTGCAGGCCTTCATGCAAAATACTACAAGCTCCCTTGTTTAAATTTTATTTTTAAATTCAAGTAGCAGTTGAGTGTGGTGCATGCCTGAAATCTCAGCACTCTGAGAAGCTGAGGGACGAGGATCCCAAGTTTAAGTCATTAAGCAACTTAGTGACTTAGGGAGATCTTGTCTCAAAACAAGAAATTAAAAAAAAAGTAAAGATGGCAACATTAAAGTGATAAATCGAGCACAAAGCCTTTCTAAGCATGGTGCCCTATGCAGCTTTAGAGGTTGTACACCTCTGAAGCTGGCTACGGCCCAGGCTCCCCACCTTCCCAGGATATTGAGAAGTGGCACAATAAGTAATCTAGCCTGGGCCTGGCACACAAAAAGTACTCTATATGCATTGCCTATTGTTATTATCGTCCTATGAGCAAACCAGGTCATAAATAGTAGTCTTTATTCCTGTCCCTAATAAACAGTGGCTTTGGCTCTGTGGAAAGTGCTAAAAATAAGCCCAGCACAGGTTCTGTGGAGATGTGAAGGCTGCCTGCACATAGGTCTATTGGTCTCATCTCAGCCTCAGCTTCCAGCCTGGGTTCTCACAGACTGCAGCTCCAGGAGGCAGATGGTATTATCCCATTTTACGGAGGGATAAACCAAGGCTTGCTCACAGATGCACAGTGAGTACACACTGTCCCTGGGGTTTTAGCCTTCATACCCTGGAATCTGAAGAAAAAGTCCAGAAATAAAGCTATCAGGCCCCTTAAGTCCCAAGTGGAATGCCACCCATCCCTATCCCGATCCTGGTTAGAGTCCATCAGGGCCGTGCCACTTCCTGCTCCTTTTACTTACCATCCCACGGGACAGTGTGCACCTTCATCAGCTCCTGATAGACCTGGCGGAGGTAGCAGGCAGACTCCCCGAGTTCACTTACATCCATCATGGTGGTGAAGGGTAGAGGAGAAGGGAGTGGAAATCTGGGTGAATCTAGGTAGTCCTGGACAGCAGGCACTGGAAGATGGCAGTGACAAGCAAACTGAGTGACCAAGGAACCCACACTGGGTATGACCTTCCAATCCAGAGAGCCTAGGTGAACCCCAGCACACATGCACACCCTCAAACACCAGAGCATTCTCCCCACTGAGATGGAAGAACCACGTTTACCCAGGGACACTCTCACCCGCCTGCTGTGCTTGGATTCCAACCCAGCCTTGATCACCTACCTCGGCACAACGGTGAGAGCAGGGAGCTGTGC